GACTACTATGTTTCAATAACCAAGTGGCATAGATGCAAGGGATTAGCTATAAGTTTACTCAAATGAAAGACCTTAAGACACTTTCAAGACCACAGGGGACAATTATACATAATAATCTCTTCTGAATGAGATCAGAAGCTTGCATGGATAACAGTCTTTCATGTTTGTTCAAATAAATGACCTTGAAACGCTCAAGGTCACAGGAGTTAAATGTGTTAAAATATTCAGACAACTTTCTTCTTGGTTATGAAGAAGTAGAGGGTTACAATATTGGATAAATGACTTATGATAAAGAGTTAAAAATCAAAATTTAAGTGAATGATCTTGACCCATTTTAAAGTTGACAGGAATTTAAAGAGTGAAAAACATCACATAACCTCTGAATATTTGGCCAGTAATATTATTATAAAGGTAGCATGCTGGAACAAAGCACTTTCAAATTGTTAAAATCAATTACCTAGGCCCATTTTCAAGGTCACTTGTTGTCTGATATGTTTGTACCTATCAATTTCACTGGAACATACTCAAAATGATGTGGAATTATGTTTTGAATAGAAATTGAACTTCCTGAATGATATACTGAAGAATGATTGGGTGATATATATATATGTATGTATAGTCTCATCAGACATCTAGTGTTATTTCTACATATCATATTTCCAGACTAATTGCCAGAACCTCAGGTACCTCTTGTGTGCAAAAACTGTTTACAGATGAGTTCTTTGAAGTCTATGATATGATTTATTCTTATGATGTACCATTCTTTGAATATTATTTATTTAGAATTCCAAAATAGTCTTTTCATTTACTTCTAACATATGATAGTTTGTTAGAAAATAAAACTTAAGAATGTTTTTATTAAATTTGATTAAAGTTTGATTTTGATGTCCTACACTGTTAGTCCCTAGCATCATTTCTACAAAGATAAAGAAAGAATTTATTACAGTTTTGTTAATGACACAAAAATGATTACTTTCACAAAAACTAATTGAAAAAAATATTGATGTAAAAGCATGGATGTACCTATATATAACTGGGGTTGTGAATCTGATTGATATAATTATTAAGATTTATATGTAAAAGAAGTTAGTTGATAGGATTTGCATTAAGTATTAAATGCAGTATATCATGTGATGGAGAATGCCTCTTTGGCTCTGTCCGTAGTTTTGTGAATTTACATCACTTGGCATAAGTATGTGTTTTCAGCTCATCTGCCTGAATGGCAACAAGGCTTATACCATAGTGCCGTGTCTCTGGTGATTGGTGTTAAAAGATTTATCTCAATAACCAAAAGGTTAAGGCTTGTGATATTGTGTTTATAGCATGCTGGGAGAAAGAGTTAGGAAGTTTATTCAAATATTGCAGGGGACAAATTTGTTAAAATCTTCAAACAACTTCTCAAAAACCAACAGCCCCAGAATATTGATCTCAGGCTCAATAGGCCCAGGATATACATCTCAGGCTCAGTAGCCCCAGTATATTCATCTCAGACTCAATAGGCTGATGATATTGATCCCACACTCAATAGGCCTAGGATAATGATCTCAGGCTCAATAGGCCCAGGATATTCATCTCAGGCTCAATAGGCCCAGGATATTCATCTCAGGCTCAATAGACCCAGGATATTCATCTTAGGCTCAATAGGCCCAGGATATTCATCTCAGACTCAATAGACCCAGGATATTCATCTTAGGCTCAATAGGCCCAGGATATTCATCTCAGACTCAATAGGCTGATGGTATTGATCCCACACTCAATAGGCCAAGGATATTGATCTTAGGCTCAATAGCCCCAGGATATTCATCTCAGACTCAATAGGCTGATGACATTGATCCCACACTCAATAGGCCTAGGATAATGATCTCAGACTCAATAGGCCTAGGATATTGATCATAGGCTCAATAGGCCTAGGATATTCATCTCAGACTCAATAGGCTGATGACATTGATCCCACACTCAATAGGCCTAGGATAATGATCTCAGGCTCAATAGGCCTAGGATATTGATCATAGGCTCAATAGGCCTAGGATATTGATCATAGGCTCAATAGCCCCAGTATATTGATCTTAGGCTCAATAGGTAAAGGATATTGATCTTAGGCTCAATAGCTCCAGGATATTGATCTCAGGCTCAATAGCCCAAGGATATTGATCTCAGGCTCAATAGGCCCAGGATATTGATCTTAGGCTCAATAGCTCCAGGATATTGATCTCAGGCTCAATAGCTCCAGGATATTGATCTTAGGCTCAATAGGTAAAGGATATTGATCTCAGGCTCAATAGCCCCAGTATATTGATCTTAGGCTCAATAGGCCCAGGATATTGTCTTAGGCTCAATAGGCCCAGAATATTGTCTTAGGCTCAATAGGCCCAGGATATTGTCTTAGGCTCAATAGGCCCAGGATATTGATCTTAGGCTCAATAGCTCCAGGATATTGATCTCAGGCTCAATAGGTAAAGGATATTGATCTTAGGCTCAATAGCTCCAGGATATTGATCTCAGGCTCAATAGCTCCAGGATATTGATCTCAGGCTCAATAGCCCAAGGATATTGATCTTAGGCTCAATAGGTAAAGGATATTGATCTTAGGCTCAATAGCCCAGGGTTTTCCATAATTTTGTTAGTAGTAGGCTGTGTAGTGAAAGTAGGAGGCTGGCCTGCTGTGTACGTGTAGTCGCCCAGGGTTTTCCATAATTTTGTTAGTAGTAGGCTGTGTAGTGAAAGTAGGTAGTCGTGTACCGAACATTATACGGAACTGGATTGGTGTAGGCGGCCAAATGATCAAAGTAGCCGGTCAAATTGGCCGCCGACCGGCTCTTATGGAAAACCCTGATAGCCCCAGGATATTGATTTTAGGCTCAATAGGCCCAGGATATTGATTTTTATAGGTCAGTTGCCCCAGGTTATTGATCTTAGGCTCACTAGCCCCAGGTTATTGATCTTGGGCTCAATAGCCTATTGAGTCCTGATTAGGTTGAAATAAAAGATATACAGTCTTTTATTCATATTAGGGTGAAAGATTACCATATTTATTGAAATAAATGACCTTGGCAAATTTTCAGGGTCACAGGGGTCAAATGTTTTAAAATCTTCATTTGGCTTCTTCTCAGTAACCAAAAGGGCTAGGGTAATAAAGGGCTACAGTCATCAAAGAATTCTTTCTCAATAACCATGAGACCTAGGGTCATGATGGTGGGCCAGTTGAATGCTGAGATTTAAGGCTACCATGTGTGGTCATATTCAGGACCCTAATGTACTTGTAAGATCACAGAGATCAAATACTTTAAGAACATTAAACATCCTGTCAATAACAAATTGGCTCTGGGTTATGGTAAATGTATTTGTGTTGTAACATTCTTTGGGAATAGGCTTTCAAGTTTGACTTAACAAATAAAGCATTCTTTATAAGCTGTAGAACAGTTGAGTGATTCATGTCCAAATATCAAATAAACTCAACAAAATTCCACAAACATACCAGTTTGTATTCTGTTTCAGGCAGTACCATATATCAGGATAAATTTGCACTTTTGCAATTTTGCATATTTTCTTTATTGTGACTTCGTCTTAGAAATTTGCAAGGATTCTTTTGAAGTATTTGAATACTTGAGAATGGACATTGGATTTATGCCAGTGTAGATTTGAACATCAATTGAAGATATAACTGACCACTCACACTACATCTGAGATTTACATACTGTTCAGTGTTTATTTGTTATGAAATTATTTAAGACTAGACAATGTTCAGGTGCATGTATAGTTATGTCAACATAGTAGATGTATTTGGCAGAAAAATTAAATAAAAATTGTTCAAACTCATAAAAATTTAGTGCAAATTGAAAAAAAAAGAAATACTATTTGAAAATTTAAAAAATGAGATGATATGAAAATAAGAAATATCAGGTAAAACATAGACTACTGTGCAGATTTTAATAGTACATTTTTCAATGCTTGAATGTGAGTGCAAGAGTGAATGGTTCAAGTTTGTAAGTTTACATGTTTTGGTATTAGATCAGTGTTGACCCCATAAGTGACATTAATGTGACTGAAGTGATAGACCCATGTTTTTCTGTCCATAGGTGACAACACTAAGTTACAATAGATAATAACTTGGCATGAATTGAGCTCCAACTTGCATGAAATGATCCTGAGATGGTTCTGACCAAGTGTTATTATTTTTCTGAAATCCAAGATGGCCGTCATCTTGAAAAAACCTCTTGTTCAGTTCCACTGGTGCCATTGAGCTAAAAATTGGTGGGAATGTTAAGGAAAGGTAGCCAACAAAGTATTGTTATTTTTCAACCTTGTCAAAACTTCAAAACTGCATTCAGGGAGGCCATTTTAAAACATGATTGTGCAATCATGATTTTCCAGTGCAACACCTATTTCAAACTTCTTCTCAAGTTTCACCAGTTGGATTGAGTTCCAACTTTACTGTCAAAAAATAGGTAACACTTGTTACAATTACCTACTCCTAACAAAAAATTCCATCTGCATCATGGAAAACAGCTTTTTAGTAAGGTGAAAAGGCCCATGGGCTTCTTTTTACAAAATCTATCTGATGTTTCTCACAATTTCTTGGAAATTTACTTTTTTTTCTCGCTTTTTAAATGGCCACTTAATTTGCAAGAGTTTGATATGTGCAAAAAATTTTCAATTTTTAATAACTTGTGGAACTGGAAAATTTTGTGATTGATACTACAATGAATGCCCTTAATTGTAGATACAAGGGAGACAACTTTTATCTGTTTGCTTGTGGAACTGAAATTTTTTGTGATTGGTACTATAATGAAAGACCTTAATTGTTGTTTCAAGGGAGACAACTTTTATCTGTTTGCTTGTGGAACTGAAAAGTTTTGTGAATGGTATTATAATGAAAGCCTTTTATTGTAGTTACAAGGGAGATAACTTTTATCTTTTTGCTTCATGAGAGAATTGTATTGATGACCTAACATGTCTGAGACTTACAATGCACACGCCTGTATGTGACTGTTATATTCCAGGCAGTAGCACCGAGCTTGGAGAACTAAACAGTCTGGTCGAGGACAAAGAGATAGCAGCCAAGGCAGTGGCTTTTGTTGTCAACAGTACACGTAAAGGGATAGTGCCTCTGTGTGCTGATGTTGCTAACCTACTGCGAACCAAGAGGAGGTAAGTCTGTCACGACGGTAAATCCAACCTAACTAATCAATAGCTGATTGAGCATGTAAATTTCAGATCGTCAACGTATGAAATATTTTTTGTGAGATTCTAAAAACTCCATGATCATGAAGATTGAATAGAAACACAGTGGGCTGTTTCTTCTGATAAATGACCTTCACCCTTTTGAATTTCAAGGTCACATTAATTGAATGTAAAGATGAATTCTTAATAAACCAAAAACACAAGGTTGTGATATTTTGAGCTTTGTATTTGTTTTGATGAATAACCCTGACTTACTTTCATGGTCATGGGGTCAAAAAGGATGTTGAAATTTACAAATGACTCGTGAATAAGCAAAAGACACTTGAAACGTACTGGAAAGAAGAATAATAAGTATGGGATTTGAATGTTTACTTAAACTTTCAAACAAAGTCTTCTCTACATGAACAGTCTGGTTTTAATATGCTATTGATTTGAAATTGCACAAAAATGATTCACAAATAGTATTTTGGAATGAATGTAAGGAATTTTTAAAGACCTCATTTGGAGTAATATGTGACACTAGAATCTGACTCCACTGAAATGTACCATACATCCCTATTGGTTTTTTGACATAAAAGGCAATACTTTTGCTCATGAATTTAATATGGCTAACGTCACCTTTACTACTGATTGAAAACTGTTAAATGATTTGGTGATCAACATCACTCAGTTAAATTCAAATCAGACTGTATGCAAAGGTGATGTATATCATACATGGATTGATTACTGGTTCCAAGGTCAAGGTCACTGCATCTACATACACTTTTAATAGAAAATCATCAGCCATATATGTATTCCAGGACAGCTTTCTTTCCTAATGGATTTGATCAAGATATATTGTTTTAACTGTAATAAGTCTATGTTCAGGGTGCCAAGGTCAAGGTCATCGTTACTCTATATATAGAGTTGTCAAAATATCTTATTAATTTCCATAGGAGCAAATTCATTCAGGTCTTATAAACATTTCCTTTTTATTTTTAAGATATTAGTTAAAATAGTGAATATGATTAAGAAATTTCATAAAAATTTGGTTTCTCTATTTTTTACAAGAAACATTAAATGTCAGAAACTTGATGCAATGCATCTGAAATGAGACTTGGAAAGTGATGGTAATTTATTAACATGAATTTCAGTTTGGAGAAAAAAGTGTTTAAATTGAAGAAAGAAAATGATGTGTTGAGATCAGCTGCATCATTGAGTGTCAGAACAAGCCATTCCACGAGCCCAACCCCTGCCTCCCTTAGCTCAGAAAAAGGGAGCTTTACAGAGCACAGCTTTCAACTTCAGGTAAGTTTAATGAGGGAGCTCAGAACAAGTCAGTTTTCCTTACCCCCAAACCTCTGTCACTGAAATATGTGACTTTACCGATCACAGCTTTCACTTTTAGGTAAGTTTAATGAGGGATCACAAAAGGAGTCAGCTTTATACCCCCCTCCTCTCTGTCATCTTTAAAAAATAGAGGGCTGTACAGCACACAGCTTCCACCTTCAGGTGAGCTTATTCAGGGAGCACAAAACAAGTCAGTTCTTCTGGACTCCACTCTTCTGTAAACCTTAAAACAAGGGAATTTTACCGAACACTGCTCTATGATCAGCTTTAAGTCAGATTAACCACTGAGAACAGAACAAAAAAATACGGACTCTCCTTCTCCAACCCATCACAAGGCTGAAATAATTAAAGAAACAAAATCAAGAACAGATTTTAGTTGCAGGCATGTCTGATTAATAAGAATGAAGCATGTCATTTCATGTTTCCTGTGCCTGTTTTACAGTTGTGCAAAACTTTAATTCGACATACCATTTCGTATGTGTCACCCCCCTATATCCTGTAGTCTGGATCAAGGGCTCTAGATGAGGTGCAAAATTTCCTGTTAAAATGTTAGAGCTTACGAGAGTTTATCTTTCACTAAAAGAAAGGCCAGCTTTATATCAATAATTATCATAGCCCACAGAATCTTTTAACTGTTAAGTCTAAAATTTTTGTTTGGGATTCATTTTCCTCAATTTTGTGGCTACTCTTAATCCATGAATTCATGTGTCCATGGGATGTGTTAAAATAGATGCAGATAACCTTATTAATTTTATATATCCGCAAAACCAAGTGTCAACAAAAACTGAGTTCCATGAAAATATGTGATTTTACAGAATTACAGTTATTTGAATTGATGGGGTAAAACTAAACAGAGGTTGGACAGATTTTACAGGTGTACAGTTATTTGAATTGATGGGGTAAAACTAAACAGAGGTTGGACAGATTTTACAGGTGTACAGTTATTTGAATTGATGGGGTAAAACTAAACAGAGGTTGGACAGATTTTACAGGTGTACAGTTATTTGAATTGATGGGGTAAAACTAAATAGAGGTTGGAAAGATTATACAGGTGTACGTTTAAATTTATGAGGCAAAACTAAAACAGAGGCCAGGCAGATTTTGCTCAAACTTCAGACAGTAGATATGAGAATGTCTCAAACAGTTTTGTGTTTCTAAAGTCTGGTTTAGAGTTCCTTAGTTATCATTCCTCCAATTTGAACCAGCTGGCGATATGTTCACCCTACATCATTACCGTCCATTTATGGTTTCTTTTGTGCAGGACCTTGTTCTACTTGTAGTACGGTGAAACATTCATTAGTTTCTAGAAATAACATTACTGTCTTTTTTAGTCCAAGAAATTATTTATTTGTTTTACATTTTAGGAGCGATGCCGACCTTGTTCCCGGTGCAGTCAGAGCTCCAGTACTATAAGTAACTCGCCACAGTTTCATGAAAAAAACAACCGACAAAGACTTACCAGTCTGCAAAGTTCTCCAGCCAGTCTCCAGGATACCCTAGACTCCAAGGCTCGGCGACACAGCTCACCAAAGTTCAGAAGGTCAAGGTCATGTAACCGAACACAAGAGGGGATAACTACAAAGGCTCTGGTGCATCATCCCAACAAAATGGTCCCCTCACCAAAGTTGACTGACTGTCTTGACAGTAAATCTTCAGTGAAGAAGGCAAGAAAGAACTCCCTGCCTGAGATAGTATCAGAACCAAGTGGCGATGTCAAGAGAGTGAGGTAAACTTGTTATGATCATCCCCACCCCACAGTCCCCCCCCCTCCCCCCTTAACCACACATTCCCAACCACACCCACACACTCACATACTTCTCCAATTAGACACTATCATTTAATGCTAAAGTTTATGTTATGTTTTATAATCATAAAAGTTTTTTAGTTTTATTCATAAAAAAATATATATTATTACATCATATTGGAAAATTCCACTTCATCCAATTTGTATACACGTTGATATTTGTGTTTCCTGAACCCTGATATTGATATTTACACAGTTACTGGCCTTTTTATAGTGGATTTGTATCAAATTAAAGTTTAGCGGATAGTTAAGGTATACACAGTCCTGTTATGACGGTGTGATGAGGGGATAATTCAGTGTCACCAATCTATAGTCATCAAATATCTGGACATAGCCTTCAAAAATAAGGGTGACTTTCATTACTCCTTCCTACTGCAATATTCCTTGTTATATGCATGTACATAAAAAGTATTTATTGTTAAAAGCAGGATCAGTGTTGATATGTAAGTTTATACAAAGAGAAACAAAACCTGTTCTAAATCTGCCTTACCACCACACCCTTTTTATGTAAATAAAGAAAAATTATATTCACATTAAACATTTGTGTGTTTATTCTTTATGACTATTCTTTGCAGTCCTGCTGTCTGTAACACTGATCCCTGTGAGGACATTTGCACCAAAACCTCATTAGCCAAGGTTACCCTCGACCCACAGATGACCACAGACACTCCGAAGAACTCTGATCCAGTGATGTCTCCAGACTCTGTGGAGGCCATTGACTCTACAGTGACTACGAACTTAGTGTCATGCCAGGAAACTCCAGAATTAAAAGGTCTCTCAAAGAATACATTGGACCATGATGATCTAGAGGACCAGTTTATGGAAAGTATGTTTAATTTTTAAGGTATTCTGGTTAACCAAAATTCCATGTTTCTCTGATATATATGATGCATCAAGTTGCAGTTCTTGCATCTGATTTTAGAGGGGAGGAGGGGGAGTCTTGTGTGGTTACATGGCTGTAGCAATACCATGATCATGGTAAATCCTCTGAATGGTTTTTGACAGGACTTCGATGTCAGGGATTGGAACATTTTTTTCAGGTTAGTAAGGTCAGTAGATTAGAAGTTCTTATAACACAACGAATAGAAGATTGTCCATTAGTCATCCAAATGTCACACTGTCTTGGTTGTGTTATAAGAACTTTTATTCTATTGACATTTCTAACCTGAAGAAAATATTTCAAAATAATACATTACATTTGCCTGCAAATCCGTGTCATTCCAATTCGCTATAAACACCAAGTTATTCATTACCAAAACCATGATCCTTTAGATAAAAATGTAATTGTACAATGTAATAATGTGAACTCGAGTTATTACACTCCTTTAATATATAATATTTCTATCTACCATATTTTCTGGATTATAAGCCGCGGCTCTTTTCCCTGGTGGTCGGGCATGCGGCTTATATATCGGTGTGGCTTTCATGTGGACAAAATGACAGAATAAAAACAAAAACAAAATGAAGCAGTGCATCGTCTGGACATTAGTTCCAGACTGTTATGTATTTCGGAATGTCCATTTGGTCGAGATGGTTCACATGCACAACCGACTTGCATGACCTGGCACCCAGTTCATTCAGTGGTACATGTATAGTCATATAGGTTTTAACATTTTACAAGCTGTAGAATTGTTTTCTAAAGCAATGTTGTGCTCCAGTTTTTAAATAGAAATATTTTTCTCATAGCTGTCCGGATCAATTCGAAGCTTGCAGATGACCTTGGTGCTGCTCACAAGGAGATTGCAGATTTAAAATGCCGACTGCAGGAATTAGAGGCAAGTTGTTTAGAATGTGGTTTGTCCTTCAATCATTCTTGTTATTGGTATTTCTGGAGAAGTAATGGATGAATTTTCTGAAATTTTGTACACAAAGTTACAACTGATACCTACTTGAATGTCTCAAATTTTAAATCTGAATAGAAAAAAAAGAATTGCCAACACAACATAAGTTAGAGTTTGGTGTAGTTTTACATATAATTTTTTACGTCATTACATGTACACTATTAGGTAAAGAGAGTAAGTCAGAAAAGTTTGCTCATGTTATGGTTTAGCAACTTCTTAGTTTTTTTCTGGTATTCGGCCTGTTTTTAATATGACACATGTTTGTTTATGTTGTTCACTTATGTGAGATTTCTCTATTTACTTTACAGAAGAAACATTTATCATCTGATTGTGCTGGAGAGTTTTATATTGAAAATGAATGTGATAGCTCTGGTCTGCGTTACCTTGAGGATCGTATGTCTTGGGTAAACAACAACAACAGCCACAACAGTAAAAAATCTAAACACTACAGGTGAGCAAACAAAATGGTGATGTATTAGAGGTATCTGATTATCTGTCAAATTGGAGAATGTGTTTCTGTTTATTTCCAATTTGAATGTCTTTATCATAACTGAAAAGTTTAATTCAATCAGATTGTGTTCAAGCAAGCTATTTATATCCTCATGCCTGTACGGTTAATTAACTGTTTAAGAACAAAATGCATTTAAAATTTTTAAAAAATGAAAAAAAATAATGATTTTTATAAAAACTCAAATTTGTCACCAAAATTTTACGCTTGAGATTTTCAGAATAAACTAAATGAAATAAACCAGAGGATCCTGTCCAAAAGTTGAGACTAAACATTTATGAAAAATATTTCAAAATGTATTGATAAGAATAGCTAAACCCACATAGCACATACACTTATATGTGAAATTATATACCTCACAATAAAAATTAGAGGGATTATAGCAGAATCAAGGTGTTTGTTCAATGGTCAATTCAATAATAAAATGTGTCTGGAGATCTTCACACTAGGTTAATTATAGATCACTCAATGAATATATGTTCTGATTTATTTCATCTAAGATATGGAAAGACATCCATAGGTTGGTCAATATAGCATTGACTTGATACATCCTCAGTTTAAGATTGGAGGTTTTCATAGTTTTGATCCCTTTACTCTGGGTGGTTTTTGTTTCTCAGGAAACTGGAATCACACATTGTTCTATGCAGCAGTGTTATGTTCTTAGGTAAAAGACTTTACCCTGATTCTCAGAATATCATGGTAAAGGCCCCCTGCAACTGTGATGAGGAGACACTGCCTCAAAGTGATTCTGACTACTTAAGGGGCAATAACCCAGACATCAAATCAACAATAAAAGAACGACACTTTGTGATTTACTAATGCTAATGTGTTTGTTTATATTGAATGTTAACCATGTCTTTCCTAACTCTAGTTTATTTCTGATGTTCATTGGCATTACTTGTGTATTGAAGTTTACCAAAGTTTGGAGTGAAGAAAGTCCAGCCCATTTCTCCATTGTTCTGCGAGCCTCTCCATGGTTGTAAATGTGCTGCCTGCAGTGAAGCATTTGGCAGTGATGATGAATTCACACAAAATCCAGCTGAAGGATTTCCAGAAAACCACAGAAAGTTCTCTGTCAGGTAATACTGATGTGATAAAGTCATATTTTGTATGGATGGATGTGAAACATAACATTTCTGTGATTTGTAAAAAAAGAGTTATAACTGATTGGCATTAATTTAACCCTATTTTTGTAATTAGGACAAATTAGTGTAATATAAAAGAGAAAAACTTTTCTTGTTGTTTTTGTCAAAAAATAAAATAGAATAAAATACAAAATGTTTTGCCACAGTCACAGATTACAAGTCCAGATGAATGACCATGTGATTGCTAAGGGGGATCGCACAGGATTTATACGATACCTTGGTCACTTGGACGGAATTGGACACCCTAACATGTTGTTTGTTGGACTAGAACTGGACTCGCCAGGTACCGAGCTTTTTCTTTCTGTGTGAAGTGGGGATGAAAATTTCTAGACATTTTATATCATTATATTGTAATAGTTCTGAAAAGTATTTTTAATAAATAAAAGTGATATTGAATTATTAGAAAAAAATGATTCAGTGGTATTTCTGTCTGTAATAATTGTTCTTTTGGGGAATCATTTTTCATTTTGTTTGATCAGGCGGTCAACATGATGGCTACATCAGTGGAAAGCGATACTTCTACTGTAAGAAAAACCATGGAGTATTTGTCCCTCTTCAAGAGATTCTTTGTAAAGTAAATAAGAAGGTGAGTCCTGTTAGGAAAGTCACTGGTCCGTTGTCACCTGTTTGAAATCATTTGCTGATTACGAAAGCTAATTTGGTAAATAAATTAATAAATTAAGTCAAGATTATGTAATAGCCAGGTATATTTAGAAGAAAAAAAAATAAAGTAATACAAAATTATTTACCTGTTCTCTGGGGAAGGTAAAATATTTGCCAGAAATGTGATAAAATTACCATATTTGTCATTATATAACAGCTGTGTAATTTATTAAAATAGAAGATTTGAGTGTGACGTTTCAATGACTACACAGGTCATCTTTATCTTACAACACAACCAGTAGATGATTTGAGTACACTAAGGTTGAAAATAATGTGAGGAAATGATAAACAGATTTAAGAAAGAAAAAACAAAGTACATATGATGTTAGCAGTGTTGGTCAGTTCTTTTACTAATCTAAGAAAATATTCTGAAATAATTGTTGTTACATGTTGAAATGTTGTGTATGATCTTGTTTATCTATAAATTTTTCGCAATATTTTACAGATTTCAAGGAAGGTATCCTTATATGATGGTTCAGACACAAATAGTAAAAGAAACAAAAGCAATCCGGAATTTCCCAAATATGATGATACAGACAGGTAAATGTTTTTATCATACTTTGTGAGGTCACTTTGGAAACGAAAATAATGTTGATTCAAAAGTGGAAAAGGAAAATATCAATCTCAAATTGTTTAATGTCCTTTTGTTTCTTTGTGATACTTTTGTCATTAATCAAAGAGGTAACGGATGGATGCATCACATATTGAATAACACCACTAGATCTATACTTGGCAAAATTAAATAGAGTGGAAAAAATACAGAGGAGTCTTCAACATTTTCAGACATATACCATCCCAAATATTGAAAAAAATACAGCCATGCATAATAACACCACTAGATCTACTTGACAAAAAAAAAAAAGAAAAAAAAGAAAGATTCCCCAACATTTTTGTACATAACTACCAAATATTGATAATACACAGCCATGCCTATGAGGTTAGAACCTTTGGGTTTTGTAAATATAATGATGACATAACATAATTTGACATTTGCTTTTACACCCAAAATTAATTCATTATTCTCTATTTGATAGAACCTTTTTGTTTACGAATGTCCCCCAGGGCTCTTATTTTGCATTTACATTGTGTTGGTTTATCATAAGTTTTAGTTCATGTATAGTTTTATCACTGTCAATACATTTAGGTGTTTAACATCTTACATTAAGTGTATTTTAAATATATGTCTTTATTATTCAATTTGACAACTGAAAATTAATGATAGAAAAAAGACAATAAATCCAAAAAGAGGCTATTATTTATCTACATGAAAGTATCTATTGTACTGAAATAGATTCTGTAGTTCACCCATGTCTGATCATAAATCTACTACAGCTGTTTCCTTTTAGTAAAATTGCCAACAAATTGCATTTTATTGTTCTGACAAGCCCTAATCTCCCCACCCATCTTCCAACACCCATCCTCCCCCTCCCCCAAGGTTTTCATTAGGGCAGGGTAAGGAATGTATAGAAGGTTTTCTATTTTACAATTCCATGTTTTGTTATCTTTGTAGAGATAATGTGTTTTCCTGATGAAGGTTATGGCTGCCCCGGTGCCTGATGTGAGTGTATTGCTGATGAAGGTTATGGTAGCCCCGGTGACTGATATGAACGACTGAGATCTTGTCTCATGCGAATATATTAACAGTTTCAAATAATCATTTATTGAGTGCAAGAGAAACAATGCAATTTCTAAAAACTGGACTCCTCTGCTAATTTCTTTCAGGTCTGATAACTGCTTTGTGTATTTGATTATGGTAGTGATGTTATGCCCGTTTTCTTTTTCAAGAACAGTAGTTTATAGGAGAAAAAACTGTAAATAAAAAAAAAAACCACAAGAAATGAAAACAATATCTTGTCGCAAACCCAAAGTCAATGTCACAAGGGAAAATACATCAACAAAATAAGGGTTTGTAATGAAAATCCTGAAAAAGTATTAGGAGAACTAGACCAGTTGTTCACTTCACCGCAAAAACTAAATGCTTATGGTATAAAGTGCTTAACCAGTGATACTATTTATATACTTTTCAAATCAGTAATACTTGCTCGGATTTTTGTGATAATAGAAACCAGATCAGCTTTGGAAGGAAATAACATAGGGGTCCAGAATTTTTCCTGAAAGGATGAAAGATAATTAAAAACTTTATAGGTTTTTGTCATTGCAGTAATCGTTGACTACTCGGCTTAGTGTTTAATCAAGTGGTTACAAAGGTAGTATGATATAAACAATTGCCTGCTCCAACAGTCACTATTTTTCTTAGTTTTAGTCTGTTGGAAGCATGTTCCTGTATTATCAATTTCAAATTAGAAACATTATTTCTCATGTTCAAAGAGATCATTTCTTATGCTTCAAGACGTGAGTGGATAATTAGGAGCATTGTTAGACTGCGATAAAGGGTTATTTTGTAGGTCATTTTCAATCTGATAACATTTCAATGATATTACTTCATATTGAAATGTAGAGAAAACTTTTAGTAACTACATCAAATGACAAATTGTTTTAGAATTTGAGCACTTAAGTGATATTGAACTAGCATATTATGAGGATAATCAGTTTGATTTCCAGATTGGATATGTCACAGTATATTGGGTCACCTGCCCTGCTACAGTGTACCTGTTTTATCTGGTTTACTTCCATGCATGCAGACCTGTAATATAATCAGTTGATCCTTTTTTCCAAACAAACATAAATTTGCTCTATCTTACATATAATTGAAATTGAAATCTTATTGTTAAAACAAAACACTTCAACTTCAAAAATGAAATTGCAATGACAAAATCCTGTATGTTACAACTATATTAGTAGAATTTCATCTTTACCACAGCTCATTCCATCCATATATATGACATAAAGCTACATGTATATATACATTGTAATAAATTAATGCACATGCATTTCATGTCACCATCCTATCATTAGAATTTTCATATTTTACATTCGCGAAATTTTTTCTTTTGATAAATGGACGATTTTTAAAATATCATGATTTCAAATTTAAGAAGTAAATGCTTGACTTGTAGTGTTATATGTTCACACATTCCTGGAAACATCATTTTGTTGTTCACAAACTTTTCAACCAAATGATTTTTGATTCTTTGGAACAATTGATTCCTTTTTATGCAAAATTTAAATTTAACGCACTCATATATTATTTTGACTTGTCAAGAAGTAACAAGGTCACATTGAAGCACCATGCAGTGATGTCGATTTCCGTATTGAGCCATCATGAAGTGATGTCAATTACGGATTGAAACATCATGAAATCATGTCAATTTCTGTATTGAGCCATTAAGAAGTGATGTCAGTTTCTGGACTGAGTTATCATGTAGTGATGTCAATTTCCGGATTGAGCAATCATGAAGTGATGTCAATTACGGATTGAAACATCATGAAATCATGTCAATTTCTGTATTGAGCCATTAAGAAGTGATGTCAGTTTCTGGACTGAGTTATCATGTAGTGATGTCAGTTTCCGGATAATGATTTTTTATAAATCGTCCATTCAAAAATTGTATCGTTAGGTATTGCGCATATAATTATATATTGTGATATTTTGAAATATCACAACTAATTGAAAGTAGCATAGTGGAAGATCTAATGGTAGGTTTTGTTTTGTTTTTTTGTAATTGTTTATATAAGTTCTAATTTGACATATGACTTGGTATCATAGTCAATGTGATCCATTTCTACATCAATGTTTTGTAAATGACTTTTAAACAGTATAAAGATTACTTAAAAAATGGAAACAGAGTCATTTAAATATGTCAGCCGTAAGGAGAACACTTTAGACTGGTCCAGAATGAATCCAATATATATTTGAATTGTTACTCGTAATGAAGCATATATTTATCATATATATGTTCTATATGCACAATTCAGAAGTCAGGAGGTAGCCGTATATCACACTTTAAGATGAATTCTTTTGATTTTTTTTTATGAGTGGAAATTAACACTTTAAAACTTTTTTTCAAATGCTTTATCTATTGGCAACAGCGCTTTTCCAGTTTCTCTTAACGGGTAAAAAGAATAATAGAAAACTTAATAATTAAACGGAGATTGGTGATCAACTAATGGCAGTGATTTAGTTTGTCAACAATGAAAATATGAAAGTAATAATTGTGTTAAAAGTATGCTTTAGTAAGAAAAAAAGTTTTTGAGTTTGAAAACAAAGTTTAGTCTTAACTTTGTTCTCTTACATACGAAAAAAACATTATATCGGCGAAAGGAGTTTTTGCTCGCAAGTGAAAATTTTAATCTTTTGAAATGGAATTGTACCGACTAGTCTATATTTGCCCAATAGTAGTTGTGCTTTGCTATTCCATTTGACCATGTAGCTCATTATGTTTTTCTTTATTGTTTTTCCTATGTAATGTACGGTAATAATGTGTTTTATGTGTTTTCACCTGTTTGTTTTAATAGGCTATATGCAATACAAAAGACGACCTTCTATATTACGAGCCAGACTCTGCTTAGACACTCGTTAACAAGATCAACGCTATGACATATATCATTTAGACAATAATGAACCTGACTAGTGATACATAAAAAAATTAGGTTGCACTGAAATCATTAAGGAACAGAAAAAATGTTACATTAAAATCACAAGTTGATCTACATCTTTAGTGACGACGTCCTCATTACGTGACGTCAGAATCGTTTAGTGATTGTACATCTTTATCTACATACCTTGGTAAAGACCTTTTCAGTACGTGACATTAGAATCACTTGATTAACATGCATATCCTACATACCTTGGTAACGACCTTCTAAGCTCATGACATCTGCATACCTTGGTAAAGACCTTTTCAGTACGTGATATCTGCATACCTTGGTAAAGACCTTTTCTGTACGTGATATCTGCATACCTTGGTAAAGACCTTTTCTGTACGTGACATCTGCATACCTTGGTAAAGACCTTTTCTGTACGTGACATCTGCATACCTTGGTAAAGACCTTTTCAGTACGTGACATTCGAATCACTTGACTATCATGCATATTCTACATACCTTGTTAACGACCGTCTAAGTATTGTTTGGCAACGTTTACTGGAGGGAGAATAACACTATATGTAGGTACACAAGAAGATGGTGATGTATTATATATTGCACATCTGACTCTTCTCAACGTTACAAGTTTTAAGTACTATTAGCAACTCTGATGTTGCTGGTGGCCGGCAGGTTATTTTTCTTACCAACTAAAAGAGAATTTGCAATATCCAGATTGCATGAAGTCTTGTTCAAGTATTACCTTTAATGATGGTGGTTTTAAGTTACCGTTATCTTTATTCGTTTATGTAGCATACTGGTGTCAGGTGCTTGATTTAATAGGCCGTATGACTATTGTAAATCGTGATGTTTCCGGAAATGTACACTTCCTGTTTCGGAAATCAATCCTGTTGGCCTATTGTATCATGGTATTATTGTACAATGTGATGATACTAGTACATCTATAAATGTTTGTTAACTTTCCTTGTCCATTGTGTCCCTATGTCTTTGCCCTCAGGGAACATCATACAGATCGGAGGGGAAAATATCGTTGTGTCAAAAAGTACGGTATGTTAAAAAGTTGAACATATGGTAACAGTGATTACTTGGTGCTGTGAATGATTTGAAGCATCTATGACAAACCATTGATGTGTACGTAGGGACTAGTCAGATGTACAACATACAAACGAAGACCATGTTGGTCTGAATCAAACCATGTCACCACATAAGAATTATGTAAATATACATACATAAACCAAAACACAAACAGAAAACTTTTTAACCCATTTATATTTCGCGAATTTATATTTTCTTGTATTTTTCTTGTATTCGTATTTGTTTTGTATCGATTAAAGTACAAACTTAAGTTCGGAAACGTCATGGGGATTCTTGCGGATTTCATTTACGACATATTATCCACGCATTTGCGTTGAGAAAATGTACCTCGCGAAATATATTTGATTTACAGTATATAAGGTCGAAAGCCTAGGCTTGCTGTAATTTAAGTTGTATCATTAAAAACATTACACCAGTTTCCTTGTCTTGTTTTAATTCATCAGTGTCTGTATATGTCCTTTCTGCAATGTCGTTTACGGGAATAGTTCGTGATTGGAGCCTGTCTCTAAGATATAAGATTATGTTTGATTTTAGAGGTTGAGTCTAGGGGGAGATAAGCTAGTGTAAGAATATGTTGAACAATCTGTGGTGAAGTCCCTGTATTAGACACTTAATATTCATCTGAAGGTCATTTTAATTTTGAAAGGCCAAAGCCAAGGGTCATGGAGGCCAGTAGCATACTGGGATGAATCGCTATCAAATTTGTTCAAATGATTGACCTTGACCAACTTTCAAGGTCACGAGTGTCAAATATGTTATAATCTTTAAAGCACTTATTTTCAATTACCTACTTTTAAGGTCACAAGAGTGGGTTGAAATCTTTTAACGACTTCTTAACCAAATGGCCGAGGGTCATGATATTTGGCTAGTAGCATGCTGGGATGAAGGGCTATCATGTTTGTTTCAATAAATGACCTTGACCTCCATTCAGGGCCTGATGGACAGGTTCTTTAACTGTCCAAAGGCCCGAAGACCTCAGGAGACCGTTAAGGCTCATGGACCTCTTATTGTCTAGAATTCAACCATTTTATCGTTCGACTTGAAAACCATACCGCATCTGAAAAAAAAAACTTTCTTGCATCGATGTAATGTGTGATCTACATTTACCTGCAAGGCACAGCTACACCTCAATTTCTGCTTTTTTATGATATAAAAACGTTTACAAAGTAATGTTAATTATCAATGTTCGCCAATTATAAAACAACGTACCCATTGTTGGCTTCAGTGAAATCATCATTCAAAGTTTATGACCTACCGAATACTTAGACCTCCGACCGAGGTGAAAAGGGTTAGCATTCTGTTTTTTTTTTTTTTTTTTTTCATCCGTCCTCCCACTATCTCTATCATTGAGGTATGTTTTAAGTGAGTCGGTGTATATGGTATCAAAGTAAGTCCTTCTGACCGACATATTGACCTTTAGGACTACATCAAAGAAAAAGTTTGTCTTTGGTGTGACGATGGTTGGGGACTGTCATTCACCGAAAGGTCTTTTTGGGAATAAATCATTCCCGAATACTCAAAGAAAATTAAATGGTCCCTGAGAGCTCACTCAACATTAAACACCATTTAGTGTTTTATTTAAATGAAATTAATTCTCAGTGTACTTAGAACTGCTTCATCAATCGGTGAATCTGCATACTGAGCATTGGCTGTACACTCTTATCTGCGCATTCATCAAAATATCGTTTAATGAGCAATAACACTTAAACTTTAATCAATGACTCTTGGAAGCAAATGCGGTCAAGAGGGAGTGATTGTCGGTACGATACTAAGGACAAATATCAACGTCCCTGTAAATAGAAAATCGGTTCCTCTAAAATATCTTAAATTGTTTGAATGATTTAATTTTCTTCATCGCTTCTTCACAGGAAGTGTTAGCTCTCAATTATTCCTTGTGGTCAGGGGTCAAGTGTCATTAGAACTGTTCGTCAAGTGATTCTATTTTACGTAATGAAGCAAGTCATCTGATCAGAGGACAAAGTCATCAGTTCAAAGGTCAAGGCGATATCTGAAACATATTTCACAGCTGAATATTTGCAGTAAACAAAAATAAATAGCAATGTATCACTCCAGTGTCCGATAGATTACCGAGTTCTTCCTGATATGTGTCAGTACTATAGTTCAACATTGTATATTAAGCATCAATTCGACACGGTGGATAATAATCACGTCTGTTTTCTTGTGATGAAGCTATTAATCAATGCTTACAAATACTAAAACTACATCTCTGTGTTACCTGATGTGTCAAACGTTTTATTTGTTATTTCACGTTTTGCTGAACAAACCAGCATTTTGTGTTTTCGTTTTAAACCAAACATTTTTGTAATAACACATTTTTCGTGAACAAACCTACATGTAAAAGGATTCTTTTGATATCAGCATGCGTACCTCCCTAGCCTATGATAGGCAATTAAGGCGAGTTATAATCTAATTACGATAATTTACATATCGTAAGGTGGGAGCGAGTGACTATCTACTAATAAATCATACGGTGTGACATTTAACTTTCGTGTTGTGATTCGGCAAAGACCCTATACAACACCATGGCTGCCTTTCGCAAGATATTAATTTTCATCTTATTTCTTGGGATATTTTAATCCCAGATTTTTTACAATGGATTTAATCAAATTTCTCCAGACCTTAGTTTTCATCACTCAGATTCAGCACGGATTATTATTTCCTTCGTTTAAAGATTCGATACCAAATGGACGTCATGTTTTGAATCCGTGCAACCCCTCTTTGTCCTGGGATGGTGTTGGACATGAAAACATGTATGGGGCTGGTCCTCTCAATCAGTTTGGTAAAGATTTCCTAAGACATGGCAAGGTAAGGTTTTTATCTTAATGCACGACATTAACGGTACACCTATCTTTCAAGACTTGCATTTGCACTTGCATTTCTGTAAAAAATATCATTGAATCAGTTCAAATAAGACCATTGTCATCACATTTCGGATAGCATTAAAAGGAAAAACAAACAAAAATTATTAATGATGTACCGAGGGATATATTTTGATTACTATATTATACAAAGGAGTTCGGTTTAAATTTGTTAAAAGATGATTATAATCAGGATCTTTAGGCATTGTTAAAGATATATATACACTTACGCATGTTACTAAAATTATACACTCGTATTGGCACCAAAATAATAAAACAAATAAAAGTATTTGTTATGTTGATTCATCGCAATCAACAAACTGTACAGACATAAACTGCAAAGAAAATTCAGACATGTTAAGATAGTCTTAAAACAGATGCGGAAAATATGAACCAAAGAGTGGTTCATGTACTTAAAGACCATTGCAAGAGTACAAGGCATACAAATCAGGTATTCCGGAAGAGTAAGCGTTTTATGTTTCATTGATAAGACCCACCATGTAGTAAGAAGTAAATTTTAAGCCTGCTTGTAAAAGACTTTGCTCAACAATTCAACAAAATACAGTCTAGCTAACATTTACGTAACATACTTAGTAGGTATACAATTGGGTTTACATTGGAAGACCAGTAAAATAATACGATACGACGTCAGCTCATATTGCAAATATTTTGTTTCAGTTAATATTTACAGTGTTCAACATCCTCGTTCGTAGAAAAAGCGTAAGTTCAACTGTAAGAAATACAACATTACTAGTAGTTATCACATTAGGGAGAAGCATAGATGATGGTTTCTAATGTTCAAATAACAGACATGCACCTTTTCAAAAAAGAACAAAAACATATACATAAAATGATAAATTAAAAACTGCTGAAAGCGGAACGAAAATAACATTTTCAATGACCAGAAGGAAATATAAGTGGTCGTGACCTTTAAACCATTTTTGTAATAGGTTTTTATACCGATATATCATCTAACATACATCAAATATAGACGTGCTTTGTGATAACAATATCGTGATATAGAGAAGAATGGTAGTCACTCAGTTTCAAAAGAATGTATGTTATGATATACTAGACTTTATATTGTAAGGATATTTCTTATTTCCATGATAGGTCATACTGAAATACCCTATTTTATTTTAAATATTACTTTAAATTTCAAACATGTTTCAACAGATTGTTAATACACATCAACACTTTAATTGTTAAAATTTTGTAATTAACAAAATTCGTCAGTATCAGTGTTGTATAACCTTTTACCGAGTTAAAACCACCACTGAAAAAACACTACTTAGGTCATTGGATTGCTTTAATAAATGAAGGAGACGAATGATAATCTGTTTGTTTGGGTTTTTTTTTTTGTTTTGTGTTGTTTTTGCTTTGTGTATGAATTAAAGTCAAGACTTAACCCTAATTATTGAATTCAGAAAGCAACTATTACAAACATGTATCTTGCTGACGTAATATTTACATGTCCAGTGGACGACATAGACTATAAGATATGATTAAACCTCTTAACAGTGTGTATCGTCCAAATATGTTACCAGGAAATATCAACTAGACAAAAGAAACGATATATATTTATGTATATTGATATATAGATATTGTCATTTGGAATTTGAAATATAACAGGACTAAGTATTTGATAAAATTAGATCAATAAAGAAATAAAAAGTATATTTATTTGTATCTTCATTACTTGGACAAACACTGTTCATAAAACATTTTCAATGAATCAAAAGTCAACGATGTTTATCATGGAAACTTTTTAATACAAGTCATCAAATTAAGGACATCTCTTTACTTTAGCAAACTACAATAAGAAGATGAGGTAAGCTTGAAGGCAATGGTTCGTTAGATTGAAATGGCGGTGGTGCTTTATATGATAACCACATTTTTGATGAAGCTGGGCGTGTATGATACTCGTTAGTATGCCACGTGGTTCCGTTGTTGTATACCTTGTTCTCATTTAGGAACGTGACATTATTTGGATCGGCCAGGATTTACATGTCGGTTGAAGCAGAAGTCGTTTACTCTGACGAAACACCTGGTCTTAATCTCTTTGTACTTTTTGAGGAGTCGTATCATTCAACGAATTTGACTTTGAATAAAGATTCTGTTAAAATGTCGGCATTTTCTTGCACGTTTTACCAACTCAATTTTTGTTGGGAGTCACTGCGGATATCTGGTATTTACACAATAACGACATGATATGGAAGAAAACATTAATACAGAATACTAGATTTCCCTTACATGTTACAATTAAACGAGATATGAAAACGTTTAATCATCAGACATTTTTTGTATGTATATGCAATGTAGTTTACATTTTGCGTTTTCCAGAATTGGACACACGGATTATGTCAGTTGGACTCTGACAATGACGGACAGAAAAACGGGGAGGAGCTAGGAGATCCATGGTGTGAATGGACTCCTGGAAGTGCTGACAATTTACCTCTTCCAAGATCACATCCGGGTAAGTAATTTTCTTGTGGAGAAAATCATTACATGGCGGGTGCCGACGATGAAATGGAAAACGCTCACTGTTTTCTAATTCCTGGTCTTACTTCCATTGTATTTTTTCAGAAGTCACTGTTTACATCTTTTATTGGGATTTTCAACAATACAAAGGAGGAATGCCAGTTTGGGCCTTCTGGTGGCCATGACCAATACTTTTTTTATTTTTTGTTATTAAAAACTTGAGGTCAGGCGGTAATGACATGACATTAATTTAAGGTCAGCCCAAGGCTGTTCAGTTGTTATAGAGGGGACGAGTGTGGGGGATCAAATTCATAATTATTGCAATGATTGTCAAACTAAAATATTTTGTTTTAGTTTTTTTTCTCTTAAATGTCATTTGGAGATATATTTCAAAACCTTCATTAGAAAAAATGACCAATACATATGCCATTGTTAAAAAGTAGGTACGGTAATTAAGTGCCCTAATTACTAATTAAGTCACACTCCTTTCCCATAGAGGTCGGCCTGAAATTTTAATCCTCCGGGACAACTCACCGATACACTGCTTTCAAATTTGATTAATTTGAATATTATTGGATTTTTTCAAGTATTTTGTGGGGAAAAAGTCAATTATTTTTGTGAACAAATGATATTTTGAACGTCTTCCCTATACAGTCCATTCAAAATTGTTTAGCAAATAGATACCTTTATCTCTTACCCTAACCTTAACCAAAGATCGAAACTTCACCATTTGTGCAAAATGTTAATGTTTGGTTTTGCGTGTATTATCCCAATGGCTTTTGGAACGATAGCGGGCCTAGGAGACCACCCTGTTACATTCCAAACCTCCATGCACACATGTGCCCTTCCTAGCATATAACAAACCATAGAACACATTCATTGACATTGCCTTGAATGCTTATATCTGTAAATTACAATTAGAACGTTAAATACAATATGTATGACCGATAGTTACAATCCAAATATTCTAACAATATATTATAAAAATGTATACCCCTTATATCCCAATATCATTAATTTTTATTTGAGATTACACTCTACGCTTTCTACCAAGTCGGAGAATTTTATTGCCCAAGCGTGCAAAATACCAACTCACTTTTCTTCACAAGCTGTCGTGTTCATGGTCCAGACGTATCTGCTCACATCATTTCATAGGGAAAGATCTTAACCCTTAAGTTGAAATCTGCACTGATGAAAGAGAAATATTAACTTCCAAGCTATTTCCAGATCAAAGGAATCAATTCATGATATTTTGGATAAATCACATAAGCTATCAAAGCAGGAGTCTGCAATTCCTCTCCTGGATGATGTAGATTGTAAAGCCTGGACTTGATGGACAAATTACAGTTTCCAAAATTTCTATCTTATATTTCACACCAAATATACCGACTGATCTAAAACCTGGCAGATTCAACATGACGACATGCAAGCTTCCCTTCAATTTTAATTACTTTGCATAAAATTACTAATTACTATTTTTTGGAAATTTATCTCATAGTGTTTGAAGATGTTTTATGACATAATTACAAATGGACTCCAACAGGAAGTTGAACGTTTGATTTTCAGAAAAGTTCGCTTAATGTGAAAAGAGCATGTTTTTTTTCTCAAAATCCTTCACATTTTTTATCCACTGTTCGCAATGTTCTCAAAACTGTGCCTTCGTGCTTTGCATGTATAATATCTAACATGTTATTTCCATCATGTTTATGTTAAGTTACATAAAACAAATGTAGCATCCCTCCCAAACTAATAATATTTTTGCACAACAAGAGCGCTATATTCATGCCTATGTACATATTTGGACTTAAATGCCTATTTGTAAAAGTACGATTACAGAGGCTGCCAACAGCACATACATTAACGGCAAAAACTGTGGCCTTTACAAGATTTAATGAAAAAAAAAATCCTGCCTTAGAATGCTGCTGAAGCTTTTACTCAAACGCACTTTAAATTATATTATTTGTTTTTAAAGCTTTCCTTTTTTTTGTCATCAAAATTTTATCTTGGCAATACAACTTATTAACTTAAGCATATTATTAATTCAGTTTTGTTGATATACTATATATAGTAATAGATTGTATTAAAATACTTCCGTGCAAGGATGTATTAACTGTACGGAATATCACTGACAGGTCCTAGAAGGACGCAACTGCTGAATGATGCAGTTTAATTCATTATTGTGTCTACTGTATCTTATCTAAATTTATATCTAAAGGTGCTACACACTTGTGAGTGAAAATCTGCTAATCCTCCGAAATCTGAACTATTTCAAAGAATATCACTCCACTATGCTTCATTTTTATGTTCATTTCATTAACGGATAGCTTAGATTTATAAGGAAATACTTAAAATAATTTTCATGTGCGATGGAAGTCAATGTCATATTAATGTGTACAATAAAATAGAATATATTTTCACGTACACGAATTGACATAAAACACGTGCTTACTTAGAGAGAAGTCATTACATTACGTGATTTACGTGGTTAGGTGACACATATTTCCTGATTTATCACACATACTTATCTTATGAAGGTCAAACTAATTTGTTAACATTTATGAACCTATAATTAGCTCATAAATACTTACTGGTGCGTTTGACGTTTATATCTATTTGAAATATCACTAAATCACGTGCAATACATCTACTCGAGAGCTCCTGTATATACGCAATATGCCCCTATAACATGCTATTATGCAGATTTTAAAAAAAATACAATTCAAACCGAGAATTGTGGATAGTTTTTACTCGTGTTTTGCAAGAGAAATTCACCAGCTATCGGCGCGTTAAAGTAATATTTTATACAAGGCCTCAGGCAAGCCTGATTGACCTAAGCAATAAAACTGAAGCCGCAGTTGGTTAAAATGTCAAAATTAACATTAGCGTTGAAACTGCACATCATCATTATTCAGTCAGGTGTTCTAACACCAGTTAGCCATAAAAAGTATTGTTAGATTTATCTCCCAGTACTATCAACATTTGAAAGCTAATACGTTTGCTAAAGTTTGATATTTAATACAAGCATCATACCCTTACAATGTAGACACTTTTATACATATATTTTAGCATACGTGTGAAGCGTAACGTTGAACAATAGATTTTAAACGGAACTTTTTTTTAATAAATTCAAAACAGTTTTTTTTTGTTACTAAGGGCGTTACTCTTAACATATTTTTTTTAAAACAGGACATTCAGGTTAAACGTGCTGGTTAATGAACAGGTGTTGATATTTCAAGTTTCATATTATTTACATTTTCGTTCCATTTATGTTGTCATTTACTTTTTAACTTAACACACCGAATATTTCAGTTTGGTTTTTCATTGACGATATATTTCAATAAGACATGTACATATACCATATGGAACACTGACAATACCGTACCATCGACAACAGAAGGAACACTACATATATAAGTCACCTTGGCACTGCTGCCCCATATGACTGCAATGACCGCGTGAGTGACCTTAGAACTAGTCATCCGTAAGCTTGTACTTGTTCTACTTCTACAATGTAACTGGTGATCTAAGCATTATTCAAAACATTAAGCTGCGAGAACTTTTAATGAAGGGTATAAGGTATCGTGAAACCCCGTCCATTAATTTGAATACGATCTTAAGATCGTGGAAAAATATACCAGAAAATGGATGAAACGAGAACATTCTGTGTTATATCTCTTTCCATCATTCCAAAATGAATCTTAATTGACAACAAAACATAGGTCAGCTTTCCTTAATTCTGATGTTAAATCCACACTTTCAGATTCACATGACAGTTGTGTTATGGTGCCTGTAGATTAGGCGTCCAATAACACGATACCTGGCTGCATACATCATTACATTTCATGTAAACAAAATAACTAGGCTTGGTTGATAACGATAAAGTCCACCTTTGCATTAACAATCTTTCCAAAGACGAAATACTGGCTAATAATGCTTCTGTTTATGTTGGATTCATTAGCCTCAAACGAAACTAGCTGTTCAACTAAATCTTTATCAAAACTACTAACCATCATTTTTAGCTATATCAAATTTGGCTTGCAGTATTATTGTGATACTGATTTCTGAAGAAGTGAAATTAATAGAATGTGGATTTTAAAGAACCTTTAGACCAATCTCCAATGTTGTTGTTGGCCAGAAAGACTTGGCAAATCCTTGCTACGTGGGGCCTAGCATTATCCTGCTGGAGGGTTAGATTATGCTGCTGTAAGAAAGGGATAACGGGGTCGGAAAATCTCATCTTTTACATAGCTGCTGTTAAATTGCCATTAATAACAACCAATTGTGATTTTACTTTGGTGGTGAGATTCCTCCCCACACCATTACTGTAACCGCCCCCAAACATGCCCCTCTGTTGGCTGACTTGCTTCTGGTTTCATACTCAGCTGAATTTATCGAAGAACTTGTCAAAACAGTCCACAAAGACTTTGCAAAGTCATTTTATTTCACTTTCAGATATAAAAATAACAAGAAAATTATTGATCACTCCCACCGTATATACATATATAACAAAATTGGAAATCAGTCAGCCGTGTATATCGATCATTTTCTACGTGGACAGCTTCCCACCAAGCTGTATGATAAGCACGATAATTTAATTTTCCTATCATCAATTTTCCATTTCTGTGTAGCAATATTCATGTATCCGAACCTGTGGTGCATACGTGTCGCAGTTGATGCGATATTTTAGGGTGTGTTCAAATTATCACGATTTTCTTGCAAGAAGTCGTCAACTGACGGGAAAATTTGTAACTCTTCAAAAGATGCAGATCTATGAAAACGATGCGGAGAAAATTCACAGTCGTCATAGTGATCTCATTCTTTTTCTTTTTGTGATGTGGGACTGGGCGTGTATAATGCTTGCTATTTTTCTTGTTGGTTCTGTTGATTTCCATTTGAGAACGAACATTAAGTGAATTCTCAAGGTTTTCATGGCAGTAAGGCGCCGATTACGCACATGAGAGTACTTTTCAAGGTTTATCCGTGTAAGCCTGTCTTTTGTTCATATTGTGTCCTAGATTTATTGAATTTGAGTTTGGAATATGGTTATGCAGACAGTTTTTCTTGTTTGTGTTAAAAGATGAAATTCTATGGTGGAGAACATTTAACACCAAAGTGCCTAGCAACTTGATATATAATTTTGCAGCTGCCCTTGCATCCTAAGACTGCATCTGAATGGAAGATGCTATTTCCTCATTAATCAACATTTGATAATCTCTAATATTTGAAGTAGATACAATGTAGATAAAATCTGGCTAAAACTACACATCTTTTAGTGGTAAAATGATTTGTTATACATATATGTATATGTAGGATGACAAAAAATGGAGGGACAAAAATATATTTGCCTTCTCCCGCTCCAAAAAGTGGAGGGTAAAGTTAATCTCCTGCCTCTCCCTTCTCCTACAAACCCATCACAACACACACACACACACACACACACACACACACACACACACAAACCCTCACACACACCACAAAATTGTAGTAAGTTAAAATCGTCGTCGTGTTAGTTTGTAAAGCAGATAAGTTGATGGTGTACTTGTATTGTTTTAGTTTTACATTTGCCTTACAGAACTTGAACTTAAAAGATGATATCAAATTATTTAGCAACATCTATACTGGCAGAAGTTAAATGCCATAAATTACTCATGTGTCATAACGATGATATGAAGCAAATAGATTAAAAAACACTCAAGGTTCTTGTTTCTCGGCGAAACATTGAATTTGAAAAAAGTTACAGCTTTATTTTGGTAATGCAACGAAGTGTTTGACTGTCAAATATATAGGGCATAAATTTATTCTCTTTGGCAGACCAATTTCATATTATTTCAGCATATATTTATATTCCACATTTTATATATAAATTTGTATACAATACCTCCAAATTTCAACGTATACTTATTTAAAGACAACAGCCAATTGTGGCCAAAGCATTAAGCATTTCTAGTGAAATTTCATCCATTTTTAATATTTTATTTTCTATTTCAGGTATCTGTGATTCACCTGCAATACGACAGTGTACTAATGGAGTTGTGACACATTTCGTATGTCCTAGGCAACAAAATCCACCTAATCATGATCCCTTCAATAACTTGGTGTTTGAGCCTCCTCCATTACCCGACCAAGAACGAAATTTCGGAGAGTTGGATAATATACCGAATTTTCAATTCCTTGGAAGAACATTGCGTCACAACCAAAGACCGAATCGACAACCGGAAGTAAACCCTGCACCCACACCACCACCACCAACCCCACCACCTCCAATACCATCCGTTATACACAAACGGATTCGTATGCCCCCTGTGGAATCAGTACCTCCCGAGCAATCCAATACGGACAAGTCTGAGAATGAAAGTCCAGCAGGTTTATTTAGTCCATTCAGTCTTTCCAACCTCCCCCCGAATGAACCCAAATCTCATGATCCACCACCAACTCCTAAACCACCGGATGTCGTATCTCCCCGGAAACCGCCACAAAGAAAAACCTCAGAACCAACATCTCCATTTAGTTTAACTAATAATCCTCCAATAGGTCAACCAGATAGATCTGGAAGTGAATCAAACTCAAATCTGAACCCAACGCAGAGGCAGGATATGCCTCAATCAGGTGTTTCTTCGCCCTTTAGCCTTTCAGGGAATTTGCCAGATGCAAACCCTATTCAACCTAGCCCAAACATCCAGACTATAAATTCCAATGTCAATCCGGTTATTATTCCTCAACCTAATCCTAATGTAAACACACCTTCTCAAAACAGACAGGGGAACACGATTAGTTCCCAACCACGAATGAACAGCAATAGCGCAAGCAACACCCAAGAGAGAGGTACAGTACCATCCAGGCCAGGACAAGGTACAAACACATTCCCTCAAAATCCAGTGAATATTGGGAATTCTCGGGTTGTACCACGTAATAATAATAACATCCCACTCATGTTACGCCGAGGCCGGTTTCCTCTTCGAAATCAAAACAATTTACAATTACAAACACAAAACCATAACCCATTTTCTAGACAACCTTTCACTTCTCAAAATTTAAATCCGTTTTCTACGTTTCCCGGTCAAACAACAAGTGCCCGAAATCCACTGTTAACTGCTCGTCAAAATCCAAGAACACCTTTTTCACGAACTACTTTCCCTAGACAAAATCCAAATACTCCCCAAAGTCAAACTGGTTTCTCAAATACTGTACCTCAATTTCCATTTCCAATGATTCCAAGAAACCAAAGTGCAGTCATGCGTTTACCTCGACGAAACACGTTTCCACGACAGAATCCTTTCCAAAGATTTCCTGCGCGAAATCAAAATTTTGGAACAAGTTCTAACACTCAACAGATTCAAAATTCAAATCAACAACGGCCTGTGTCGAATATAGCCAATCAAAGACCACGATTTACAGTTCAACAAGTACGGGCTAATTCTCAGAGGGAACCTAAACGTGAGGACCCTTCTCTGTTTGTTATTAGGACACTGAGACAAGTCATGAGACCAAATTTTACCTGCCCTGGACTAACTGGACCAAGTAAGTAGTCATATTCGGAGTGGTAGTAACACATTAGGTTTATCATTTGTCTGAACATATCAATTATATAATTTATTTCATCCATATATACCTCCGATCTCGCTTTTGACTTTTCTTTCGATCACGTTAGATTTTCTTAAGTCACGTGATTTTGACTTTTCTTTCGATCACGTTAGTTTTTCTTCAGTCACCTGATTTCACCTTTCTTTCGATCACGTTGGATTTTCTTAAATCAATTGATTTTGACTTTTCACTTTGGTTTTTCTTCAGTCACCTCTAAGGCTTCAATATTTAGGCCCTTATCGTCACTGACGAGCCCTAGCAGGACGAAACAGCTGTATGATACAGTTTAATTCATTATCTTGCTCTGTCGTGTCTAACTATAAATTTGTAATAAAAAATATTATTCACTTGTCTTTTGTACGATCTATACAATACTTTCATTACATAACAAGGATAATTCAATCAATCTAACTGGATTCGGAAACACATGTTACATCGATTTAAGACAGCGCAGTGAACAGAAATGTTTCTATATTGATGTATATAAACAACATGTACAAATGTTATACAGTTAAGATAACACTGTATAGAGTTTACCACGGTTATACATATTTTTCTCGTGTCATTTCTGATGTCATTAACCCATAGAAACTCAATATTATAACCATGAGTTAAAATGCATCATACAGTTGTTTCAGTGTTTTAGGTCTCCACTGTGATGTCAGTGTCATACAGTGGTGAAACATAAATGGTCAGATAGGGATATTCAAGTGGGTTGGAACAAATATTAATCTTTAGATAGGAAGCTGCAGTGACTTAATAATCAATTAAGTAATAACACACATTTGTTGATTTTAAAAAGAACATTAAAGACATGAATATATTCATATTTGTGTGAATTTAAGAATGACATGCATAGTTACTGCAAAGCAAAATTCGGGGACGAATGTTCACCAGCAGAGTTTTAACATGTAATTCTAAATATTATAGACACAACCTAATTAAATGCTACTCTATCAATACTTAGTAAATTTTGAACGAGTGAAAACCGCATTTGTCTCGTCAGTAATTCTATGATATAAATGGTAACTGTACTTTGTATGTATTAGATATATATACGTGGATGCTCCGCCTGCCTCGGGTCCAGATCCCTAGACGTTTCCAGTCCGGAGTCTGTATGGTCTTTAATCTCCCGACCAATGGAGAATTCCATTTGATAGGGGGAACTCCTATGATCGACAACAGAGACGCTGTCCAACAGATGTTTGTCTATGGTTGTGGTAAGTGTCACGGTCGATGTATATATTGAGAAACTGATGGTAACCGCGGGATTATAAAGTTCATCAGTGACAATTTCGCACCGTTTCTGAGTTCAGATATAGTAGTCATGATAGTCTATGACTTGGAAAATGTGCAATGTCGCACCTGTTCTCGGTCAGTTAGTTACCTATGCAAATCAGGTTTCTACTGTGAATGCACGTTTTTTTTACAGTAGAAAATGATATGTAGAATAGAAATGTGGGACATTTTAAGAGACGATTTAGCTACGTTTTTATGATCACCTCAAAAAGTTCCCAGCATTGATTACCTAGTGTCGAGTCTCTCCTGCAATTTTTAGATAATTCAAATGTCATGTGTTACAACATCCATGAACTGGAAAAGTTGTGTCACAGATCTGTGATATTGCTTGTACATTTATGATATGTTTATGTGTCTGTCTCCTGTTTATATGTAAATATGTACTGTATATACTTTGAATAGTAGACACATTTGTAAATCTAGATATGCTACATTGCATAAAAAAATAGTGAATTGTTATTTTAAGTTAATGTATGTATAATGAAATATGACGATGTCGATAGAAACACGGACTCCTACCCAACACATCACTGGTGCATTCTGCAGCATATACCGTTCGCGACTTTCACCGCATCCTCGATACTCCGGAGGTTATGACTACTTTCGCTTTCTGCACCCCTGGAACATTTCATGTCACAATTGAAGGTTCCACGTGCGACACCTTGTTGATAAGACGAGATGACTGGTTTTATAAACATCAAACGAATCTCGAGATCACATTACGGTATTTTGTTTCTATTTTTTAAGCTTTGTAATCTTCAAAGAATCGAATCAGTCTGTGATTGGTCAGTTTTTTTTTTGTTTTTTGTTTGTTTTGTCCTGGAACCAATCAAATTACTTCGCTTGTGCCTTCAATTGAGCAATGACATAATCTATGGGTGCAGAGAACGAAAAATAACCGAAACCCTGAGTATCGAGACTGTTTTCACCGAAAATGAGATCAACGGACCAAGTTTATTAGATATTCAACACTAAAGCAATAATAGAGCTCTGAGAGCCCTTGGCAATTACTTTTCATGTCTGACGGCGTACTTCATCTTTCCTCAGACGAGGGCACCACCGTTCCAGTGACGTCACGTCCGTACGCCTGCGACGGGATGCCGAGGAGAGAATGTCAGAACATCATTGGTGGATACGCCGGATCGATACCTGGAATATGTTTCCCTCGATCAGGAGGGATTCGAATCGGTCGAACTGGTTTCAAGCAAATTATCCTTCAGGTACATGTATATTAAAATATAAAATATAACCTTGGGTTATTAAAATATCGTTTTTATTTAAGAGATTATCGCAATAAATTCTATTCATATTAGTTACGACATCATGAACGTCATGGATAAGTTGAATATTTCATTACTGTAGCGTGTTATTACTTATTTGTAGGTTCGTTGGACAAACTTGTTCGGGAGATTCGGAACGACTGACAGTTCCGGTATGACTATTTACTACACAAACATCTTACGTCAATATGATATTGGGACCAAGGTACTACGAGCAACACACTTCACCATTCCTCCTGGTCAACCGGCACACACCGTGTCGAGCACGTGCCCGGGAGAATGCACGGTCATGCAGATAAGGTCTCCCATCTACATAAGTATGGCGTTCAACCACATGCACTTGCTAGGTAAGGTATCGCCTTAATATAAAACAATGATAATTGTTTAATTATTGAAATATGTTTTCTGATATATTCAGTGGTACCTTGATATATACGTATTGTACACAAAATACATTGGGTCTATTGCGATTTCATAAAACTTAGTTTCAGCATAGGTCGTGTTGGTTTCAGGGATGTGTTTTGCGGTTTGTGGAAAACTGTATTTTAATAGGTGGAATGTGGCGGTTTACTGTGAGCTATGTTTTAAGCACATTCGTTCACTAAATTTGCGACAGTAAAGTCACAAAAGTCACAGGACTTGAATTGAACAGGAATTGGCATGGAAACCCATGAAAAAGTATAAGGAGAATAAGACCAGGCGTTCCGAATGGTTAAGCATCTTTTGCTTCATGAACAACCTGTCACCACTGAGATATAACAAGGATGTGCGCTACGTTCTCCACACTCAAAGAGATGCATTGCGAAAATAATAAACATAAATTAAGGAAAAGGAGAAAAAAAATCCATAATGAAAACTGAAATTATTCATACACAAAATTTGTTCCTCTAAAACATCGGCTTGATATAAATTGAAATAGTTAAATATCTTTGAAATACAATACGTAAACATGTGATTGAGGGAGCGGTTATGTGTGGATTCTGGAGATAACGATTATCAACTATGAAAGGTTGATTCCGTTTTGCAGGCAGAAAAGAAAAGGTAGAACTTGTACGAAATGGAGAGGTCGTGGATCTGATCACTGAGGAAGATGCGTTCAGTTATGATGATCCGAAAGCATATTGGTATGTATAATGTATAATGACAAATAGTTTAAACTATAAATGATCCCCTTATCGATTTGGTCTGTTTTTACACTGTCGCATACATTTCATGTACCACATGCTGTTGTGCCTTACTATAAAAATAAAATTGCTTTCTACAGGCACCAGACCCCAATTCAGGTATTGCCAGGAGATAGTCTGCGCATGTCGTGTGTATACAACTCTATGAACATGCAAGGTAACGTGTCGTGGGGTTTCGGCGAAACTGACGAGATTTGCCTTGCTACGCTCTTCTACTATCCCAAGGAGAGCTGGGAGACGACTTCCTGTACGAGTTTCCGTAGTATACCTCTGTGTAAGCTGGAGACAACTGGAATTGTTAATGACTGTGACTTTAACCGCTTCTTCGGCACTCTTCGGCGTGATTTTCAAACAGCTGCGGTTTTAGCAAACTGTACCGTACGTCGTATGTGTAATGATGACTGTCATTCATTGGCGAAAGCAGCGCAATCACATCCATGTTTAAAGGGAGATAACTTTAAATTGCTTGAGTCAAGTGTCGATATATCCCCAGACGAAAGACTTTCTGTACTGTTTGAAACTTTAAAAATATGTCACTCAGGAATTCATGGAAACGAGGCGGCCATTCCAATTTCAAATAATCATATACCAGTGAATTTATTGCCGGACGTGCAAACTGTGGAAAACATGATGCATAATGAAAAAATGAACAGCCCATTTCTGCCGTTAAATGTACAGAAACCGACTTTATCACCCGTAGTTACAGCGCCACCTGCACCTGTAATTTCCCCGCTACCAACACCACTTCCGCCACCGCAGTCAACGACAAAACAAGTACTCCGAACTGAGAAAAAATCAGGCGAAAACGAGGCTGTAGTACGAAAAACTGGCGATACAAGAGTGAAAGTTATACCTATAAATAGAAACAACGAGGAAGAAAGTGTTCAATCTACGATTATAAGACTCGTGCAGGATCATTTCCGGTCTGTTCCTATAAGCATTGTCGTTATATCCCCCGATGGCCTTTTACGCGTGGAAAATCAAGTAGGACTTTCTAGTTTTACTAACCCTTAAACAAAATATGAAAAAAACCCACTATTTATTAAATACTTTTTATGTTGAGAATGGTATAGTATGTTTTGTTTCGTTTGTTGAGCTTTGAAGTACTAGTATATATATATACTATGTTTAAAACAAATTCCAAATCCGAAATCTGATCCGCCCTTGAGGAAATATCACAGAGAAAAACAGTTGAATAAAAATGTGTGAAATCATATATAGATTCATAGCGTATTTCAGTATGGTTCTATCCCCTGGTCCCGATTTACCTTCGTCTCTATGAACAAACGTTAAATATCTAACATCGAGTTCATCTATACATGTTTGTGTATTCAGTAATGGCGCGTGTGAAGGCGCCTTGACCAGCACGTCTCTCACATATCTAAAAATATTTGTCAAGAAATATATTTTATGCTCGATAACTTAAAGAAAATGTGTTAAATATGCATGCAACGTCTCCCAGAGTGCATAGCAGTATCCTATAAAACACGTGTCTTAGGTTACCGGAAAGCTCTGTAGGAGATACACTCTGTACTGGTGCATGTCTGGTTAGTCTTTATCAGTGCTACACACATGGATGACGTCATAAGTTACCCATCCCGTTAAGATATGTGCTGTCAAAATTTAGAGCATTTGTAGCTGTATACATGCTGATTTTCAGGAAAAAAGACTTCATGTATTCAGGAATGTTATGAATAAATAAATAAACTTTAAATGGCGTTAAGATGTATTTCAAACATTTTAAGATTTTGCGATGATAAGTATAGAGATTGTGCGTCTATTATCAGGTCAAATGCAGGGCCTTAATTTTTCATAGTTTTATACCCGTGCCACGCAATAGTGACGGTGCCGTTTTCCCCCGTTTTTTTTTAACTTTTTCTTTTCTTTTTTAAATTTAAACATACACGTACATGGTCATCGTTAATACGTAACTACACGTGCACATTAGTGTCAGTAGTATGATTTTATACTGGAAAGTGATAGAAAGACGTTTAATTGAATTCCTATGGCTACAGTTTAACAAAACGATAGGACGGTATTTAGTAAACAGTATATGAATCAGGCTATCAAGAGTATAGTCCCTTGAACAAATTAACATAAAACCATTTTTATTTTATGTCAATTAGATTTATACCAGAACTTTAACTTTAAACTATGAAAGTTAAAACTGTCAGGTTGAAATAAGGGGAAAAAAAGAATAATAAAGTTTCCGTTTTTTTTTCCAAAATTCTTCGTAATGTTTGATTTTTTACAGTTGTTTGCTTATTGCAGCCTCTAAAAACTTTGATAATGATGTACAGAGGTTATGACGGGTTATTCAATACATCACAATGAAAACAAAATTATTGATATCCTTAATGTACAAAATATGTACAATGTTATCAAACCATGTGTCAGGTTTTGTCATATTTAGTTTCTTCCTTCCTGAATGCTTCGAGAATAGCGCTCGAATCTGTATTATAAGTGTATAAATATACTTTCTGACAGGTAGCCAGGTAAGTTATTACACAAATTAACATAATAATTTAATTAACATAATGACAATTTATGGAAGGTACAAACATTGTACATACGACAGATAAGCGTCTTCCTTACACAAAACATCAACACAACAGCTATTTCTTTCTGCAATACTTGAAATAGACATACACTTTAGATGTTTATACGTAAAAAAGTAAATACTTCATTGATAGCAGTGCTTTGTTTTAAACAAAATTTAAAGCATGCTAATTAAACGTTATCAATGATGATGTTTACGATAGAAATGAGGGTTCTATATCACTCCAACCCGAGTCAATATTATAGTTATAGTCCATTGTTTTATTGTTTTTGTTAAAAAATCAATTTCAGTTGTTTTGTTTATTTTTAGAATCTAGATCATTAATTCAAAAAATGAATCGTACAAATATTACAACACAATGATGTATCATGTTTTTGTCAAGTAGCCTCAACTTGACGTGACCTTACTGATGAATCATGATTCAGTCATATTGGTAACAGTCATGGTGAATTTGGACCTATCCTTCTCCGACAGTTGTAGAAAACAATAACGGCTATTTACAGATCGTCGGGGCGTGTAGCCACTAGCCATAATGGTTGATCATGACGTAAAGATCATTGGTAACAGTAATTCTTTCTCTCCATGAGAACAGAGGGTAAAACGTAACGACAAGTCGTCAAACGTCATAAGGAAATACTTTACATGTTAGATACTAAATTCAAACTCAAAATAATCTAAAGGTGCAAAATATGAACAAGAATTGGCATGGAAACCCATGAAAAAGTATAAGGAGAATAAGACCAGGCGTTCCGAATGGTTAAGCATCTTTTGCTTCATCAACAACCTGTCACCACTGAGATATAACAAGGAAGTGCGATACGTTCTGTACTTTCCGTAATCTATATAAATGATAGATAATCTCTTTGCCAACTCAACTTAGTTTAGTTTGATACGAAGATAAATGTATACATAAAAAAATAATTGATCTGAATGTTAAAATGATGTTCTAAGAAAAATTTATATAACTTGACGATGTCATCAAATAATTTTTAAAAAATGGCAATCATTTCACATACATCAGAATAGCAGCAGCGCCAGAGAAAAAATCAATCACTCATTACGTTCAGGACGAGACACGCGGATATTAACCCCCGGGAAAGTTGTAGATACGCGTGTTCGAAAACATTGATAACAATCTTTCCTCGAAGGGTGAGGAGTTTTACATAAATATATGTATCGAGATGTACTATTTATATCAGTTTAACCAGGTGTAGCCTTGTGATTGTGTGACTTGTCCTCGATGAAGAAAAAGACGCTTAATTTTTCGTGTAAATCTTCTTTTTGTTCATATTTCATTCAAGTTTCTTCAGTTTTGAGTTTGAACCAATATTCTATTGGTATATCGGTTTTATTTTGGTATATATATATGTAGTGTATCTCACTAGGACGATATTATATGGTAATATTATTCCTCACGACTCTCTGCCTGTCGAATACATCTTAACTTATATAACTGAACTAGCTATGCTTTCTTACATGGACATCCGAACAGCGACTTATCATTCTACTGGCACCTGAACAACGTGACCTCATAAAACCAATCATAGTTTGTACTTTGACCACCAAACGACCTCTTTGACCTTGCTGTATTGCGATGTGACATAAACGGGCGCGAGCAATAGTTTAACACAGATAAGAAATACACATCGTAATATTTACGTAACTAAGCAACGACAAGTATCGGTGCTCTCTGAAAATTAATATGGCCGACATAAAATGGCTGTCCTGACGTGTACAAGTCTTGTGGTATGACTGATAAATCTATACCATAAAACAATAGGATTGCCGTGAACTTACACATACACATACATCAAGTATATATATGTAGGTTTTATCTGTTTACCGTTATTTTCTATAAATACCTCCAATCGATCATCGGAAATTCCAATTTCTATTTTTCTCACTCTCTGTAATTATATAATCATTATTAATTGTTATCCTTGATTGATTGATTTATTGATTGATTGATTTATTTATTTATTCAATACTTTAAATTTGGAAAATTAAAAATGATATCAAATATTCTTCAATTACCTCAGAGGTTTCAAACTTTGACCATTAGCATCACCAACGAGTCCCAGAAGGCCGAAATAGCAGTATGATAAAGTTAATTCATTGATTGGCTCTACTGTATGTTATTCTAAATTCTCATTAAATGGTTCTATTCACTGTGTCTATAATACAATCCACGCGATCTGTATCATAAATATTAGAGAACATTACCAGCGTTTAGTCCCGAATGGTTTCTTGGTCCTGCCAATTTGTTAAAAAATACAATAGGGAATTGAAACAAATTATTACGGACCAATACGTTTCAAAATTTGTGTTGTCAACAAATCTCTATGCAACATATCATTTGGTGATGAGGAAAAAAATTATGTCAGTCTCTCATATATCATGGTTAATTGTGAAACAGAGTGTTGATCTATTTACTACAAAGATCGTATTTAAGCTGTCAAAGTAAGTTTATATAAATGCGTCATTGTTTGGAGATAAGGCCGACATCACGGTATATAACTTTTTCCCGTGACGTCACAGAATATTAGACACGTTTAACAAACGCAATAGAAAAAAAAATACGTTTTTCAATATCGCCTGTGCAATGCACGCGTAAATGATGAATGTCTTCTGTCTGAGATAAACCACAGTTATTGAAAATAAATATAGGATACATATTTTAATGTTGCAACGCATCCCTTTTTATACATATACATATTCATAAGTTTGAAATTGATTCCTGATGACATCATATACCTAAATTAATGAACCCAACCAATATATATCTGTATAAAAAATGCTAAACATTGTCATTAATTTCAACATTGATTGATACGTGTAACTGCAATTAGGAGACAATACTGCAGTGGTTTACTGAATATATCTTCAATTATACATGTGCTGGCTTACTATAACACTCAATTAAGGTAGACATCAGATCCCATCTAGTCAGCGTAGACACCAGATCCCATCTAGTCAGTGTAGACATCAGATCCTATCTAGTTAGTGTAGACACCAGATCCCATCTAGTTAGTGTAGACATCAGATTCCATCTAGTCAGCGTAGACACCAGATTCCATCTAGTCAGTGTAGACATCAGATAACTTCTAGTCAGTGTAGACATCAGATCCCCCTTGTCAATGTAGACACCAGATCCCACCTAGTCAGTGTAGACACCAGATCCCATCTAGTCAATGTGGACACCAGATCCCATCTAGTTAGTGTAGACATCAGATTCCATCTAGTCAGCGTAGACACCAGATTCCATCTAGTCAGTGTAGACATCAGATAACTTCTAGTCAGTGTAGACATCAGATCCCCCTTGTCAATGTAGACACCAGATCCCACCTAGTCAGTGTAGACACCAGATCCCATCTAGTTAGTGTAGACATCAGATCCCACCTAGTCAGTGTAGACACCAGATCCCATCTAGTCAGTGTAGACATCAGATCCCTTCTAGTCAGTGTAGACATCAGACCCCATCTAGTCAGTGTAGACACCAGATCCCATCTAGTCAGTGTAGACATCAGATCCCATCTAGTCAGTGTAGACATCAGATCCCTTCTAGTCAGTGTAGACATCAGACCCCATCTAGTCAGTATAGACACCAGATCCCATCTAGTCAATGTTGACACCAGATTTCTTCTAGCCAATGTAGACATCAGATTAGTTCTGGCCAAAATTTCAAGAGATGCATTACAATCAATTGAGTAATACAATAGAAAATTAAATATTCAGGTGTATCAGAAGATATTTGGTATTTACGGAAACGATTAATTTTTGACTTGTAGAAGTTGACTTAGACAGTTTAAATAAATGTCCCTCATAGATATGCAAAACGTACAGTAGGCGATGCCAGGTTTAAAATCACGAAGTGGAAACGGAGTTTAATTTATAACGAAACTTCACATATAATTATCATAATCATGGCTTAGACATTTTAATTATAAAGAAAAAATATTCGTATTTTATGATAATGGGACACGAGGTTATGATACAATGTGTTTGTGGATTAATCCAATACCAAACAAATCTACGTATGTATGTATGTGTTGCTGAATCTTATCGACAAATACTTCATGTTATGAATGTCAACAAAACTAACGAAAAACAAGCTCACATATATTTACTGGGTTTGCAGTAACAAACGTACTTGAGGAGGAAGTACACACGTGTACATTAATGATTGTCGACTGTTGACAGCTCTACATCTAAAATTATCAATAGTAGTTTTAATTAAACACGATTCGTGATGCCAATAATGATGTATGCACAGGTGAGTAGCTGGCATCATCAAACAAAACGATCAAGGTGCGACACTTTAATCAGATCTCCGACGGCACAAGATATTGAAAGTTCAAATGATATTTAATAAAATTTTCTTTTTTTATATATATATTTTTGGTTGTTTGGTTTTTTTTTATACTAATACGATATGATATGTATGTGCATGCATGAGAGAATACGTGCTATGGTGTTTGGAATGTATGTGCATGCATGAGAGAGTGCGTGTTAAGGTGTTGGAATATGTATGTGCATGCATGAGAGAGTGCGTATTAAGGTGTTGGAACGTGTATGTGCATGCATGAGAGATTTCGAGTAGGGCGTTGGAACGCGTATGTGCATGCATGAGAGAGTGCGTATTAAGGTGTTGGAACGTGTATGTGCATGTATGAGAGATTTCGAGTAGGGCGTTGGAATGTGTATGTGCATGCATGAGAGAGTGCGTATTAAGGTGTTGGAACGTGTATGTGCATGCACGAGAGAGTGTGTGTAGGGTGTTGGAATGTGTATGCGCATGCATGAGAGATTTCGAGTAGGGCGTTGGAACGCCTATGTGCATGCACGAGAGAGTGCGTGTAGGGCGTTGGAACGTGTAATACAATGAAAAAAAAACCTTCGAAGAAACGAGATAAAAAGAGAGAGAAAATCTTACATTGAAATAAATTACGAATTGACAAAAAAGTGATAGTCACGTGTATAAGGTAAAAAGTCGTTAGAAAGACATAACAAGACAAAATGTCGTACGATCAAGATGAAATGTCGTATGGACAAGATAAAATGTCGTATGGACAAGCTAAAATGTCGCATGGACAAGATAAAAGATCGTACGGAGAAGATAAAATGTCGTATGGACAAGATAAAATGTCATACGATCAAGATAAAATGTCGTATGGACAAGACAAAATGTCGTACGGACAAGATAAAATGTCGTATGGACAAGATAAACTGTCGTACGGTCAAGATAAAGTGTGATACGATCAGGATAAAATGTCGTACGGAGATAAAATGTCGTACGGACAAGCTAAAATGTCGTATGGACAAGACAAAATGTCGTATGGACAAAATAAAATGTCGTATGGACAAGATAAAATGTCGTGTGGACAAGATAAAATGTCGTACAATCAAGAAAAAACGTCGTACGGACAAGATAAAAGATCGTACGGACAAGATAAAATGTCGTACGGTCAAGATAAAATGTCGTATGGACAAGATAAAATGTCGTATGGACAAGAAAAAAGATCGTATGGACAAGCTAAAATGTCGTATGGACAAGATAAAAGATCGTACGGAGAAGATAAAATGTCGTATGGACAAGATAAAATGTCGTACGATCAAGATAAAATGTCGTATGGACAAGCTAAAATGTCGTATGGACAAGACAAAATGTCGTATGGACAAGATAAAATGTCGTATGGTCAAGATAAAATGTCATACGATCAGGATAAAATGTCGTACGGAGATAAAATGTCGTATGGACAAGATAAAATGTCGTACGGTCAAGTTAAAATGTCGTATGGACAAGCAAAAATGTCGTATGGACAAGATAAAATGTCGTATGGACAAGATAAAAGATCGTATGGACAAGCTAAAATGTCGTACGGACAAGATAAAAGATCGTACGGAGAAGATAAAATGTCGTATGGACAAGCTAAAATGTCGTACGGACAAGATAAAAGATCGTACGGAGAAGATAAAATGTCGTATGGACAAGATAAAATGTCGTACGATCAAGATAAAATGTCGTATGGACAAGCTAAAATGTCGTATGGACAAGACAAAATGTCGTATGGACAAGATAAAATGTCGTATGGACAAGATAAAAGATCGTACGGACAAGATAAAATGTCGTGTGGACAAGATAAAATGTCGTATGGACAAGATAAAATGTCGAACGATCAGGATAAAATGTCGTACGGAGATAAAATGTCGTATGGACAAGATAAAATGTCGTATGGACAAGATAAAATGTCGTATGGACAAGATAAAATGTCGTACGGTCAAGTTAAAATGTCGTATGGACAAGCTAAAATGTCGTAGGGACAAGACAAAATGTCGTATGGACAAGATAAAAGATCGTATGGACAAGCTAAAATGTCGTATGGACAAGATAAAATGTCGTACGGACAAGATAAAATGTCGTATGGACAAGATAAAAGATCGTACGGACAAGATAAAATGTCGTACGGACAAGATAAAATGTCGTACGGACAAGATAAAATGTCGTACGGACAAGATAAAATGTCGTACGGACAAGATAAAATGTCGTACGGACAAGATAAAATGTCGTATGGACAAGATAAAATGTCGTACGATCAAGACAAGATGTCGTACGGACAAGACAAAATGTCGTACGGACAAAATAAAATGTCGTACGGACAAGATAAAATGTCGTACGGACAAGATAAAATGTCGTACGGACAAGATAAAATGTCGTATGGACAAGATAAAATGTCGTACGGTCAAGATAAAATGTCATACGATCAGGATAAAATGTCGTACGGAGATAAAATGTCGTATGGACAAGATAAAATGTCGTACGGACAAGATAAAATGTCGGATGGACAAGATAAAATGTCGTACGATCAAGATAAGACTTCGTACGGACAAGACAAAATGTCGGACGGACAAAATAAAATGTCGTACGGACAAGACAAAATGTCGTACGGACAAGATAAAATGTCGTACGGACAAGATAAAATGTCGTATGAACAAGATAAAATGTCGTGTGGACAAGATAAAATGTCGTACGGACAAGATAAAATGTCGTACGGTCAAGTTAAAATGTCGTATGGACAAGCTAAAATGTCGTATGGACAAGACAAAATGTCGTATGGACAAGATAAAAGATCGTATGGACAAGCTAAAATGTCGTATGGACAAGATAAAATGTCGCACGATCAAGACAAAATGTCGTACGATCAAGATGAAATGTCGTATGGACAAGATAAAATGTCGTATGGACAAGATAAAATGTCGTATGGACAAGATAAAATGTGACACGATCAGGATAAAATGTCGTACGGAGATAAAATGTCGTATGGACAAGATAAAATGTCGTATGGACAAGATAAAATGTCGTACGGTCAAGTTAAAATGTCGTATGGACAAGCAAAAATGTCGTATGGACAAGATAAAATGTCGTATGGACAAGATAAAAGATCGTATGGACAAGATAAAATGTCGTATGGACAAGATAAAATGTCGTATGGACAAGATAAAATGTCGTATGGACAAGATAAAATGTCGTATAATCAAGATAAAACGTCGTACGGACAAGATAAAATGTCGTACGGACAAGATAAAACGTCGTACGGACAAGATAAAAGATCGTACGGACAAGTTAAAAAGGCATGTTTCACAATAGTTGTTAAACCGATTTTAAAAAAGTTGCATGAAAGAAATAAAAGTCATAAGAACGAACTAGATAATCACCTGAACAACAGAAAAAGCCGTTCAAATGAAATAAAAAATCTTCCAAACAGAAGTAAAGGTTGTATGAAATAGTTGAATACTCTTAGGAAAGAGTAAAAAAAAGTCTTACGAAAGAGTTGAAAAAAGTCTCGTGAAATAGTAAAAAGTCGTACAAACCTGATAAATGTGCATAAAACGCACATTTGAATAGCATATTTCAATAAAATTGAGAGTAATATGGCATAGCGCCAATTTTAATATTCATAGTTTGAGGGTTTGTCAGTGATGCTATGGGACTAAATTTTGGTACTGTGAGGTGACCGAGGGAAAAATTGATCGAGAGATATGTCAAACTCTAGATGGGGAGGTGCATTAACTTGTTTTGTTTTTAGATGTGGCTTGATTTATCAAAAAGTATATAGAAACAGGTCACAAAGACCTTGCAAAGTCATCTAACTTCACTTTCAGATGTATCTATGACGTCTTGTCTTTAAATAAAAAGAGATTTATTGACCACATTTATTCAATACATCCACCGGTATTGTTAGTCAAGGACACGACAGAATATTCTACATCAGCTGCTAATCTCGATCTTTTCTTACAACGAAACCATCTTGGATAGTTTTCAATCAAGCGGTATAAAAACGTAATGATTTGAATTTTCGTATTGTCAATTTTCCCTTTCTCGATAACAACCCTTCTGTATTCCCAAACTATGGTACTTACACAGCTGATTCGATATTCAAGGGCCTATACCCATTTTCTCGATTTTTGTACAAGAAGTCGTCTAATGACGAACAAACTTCAAACACTGGGATTCAAGAATTGTAGGATTAGAAAAAATATGGGGTAGGTAGGGTCGTCATAGTGATCTCATTGAGAAATATTCTATTTCTTTGTGTGATATTTAGATGGGCGTATTGAATGTTCGTTATTTTGCCTATTGGTTCCATTGTTGTACAACATATCTTCTTTTGAGAACGTCACATTACTTATTTGTATTGACTAATATTTATATAGCGAGTAATGACGATGAAGTAGAAGACGCTTACTATTCCGGAATACTCGGTCTTGTTCTTGCACTTTTTCAAATCTTTTTTTCCCTTCTTATTTTGCCCCAGTTTTATTGAATTTGAGTTATAGTGTCGGTATGTTGGTATTTTCCTGTCGTTTTCACAAGTCAATACTTTCGTATTTTACATAGAACTGATAATTTCAGAAGATCGTCAATTACGTGTGTAAAAGTATGGATAGAAACGAGGAAGGCAGGTTAGGGCAAACCACGGAATCTAAAAGTTCACCAGCCGTGTCTGTCACCTACAATAAAAAAAAAATTCACAAAATTCCACAAAGGAGAAGTGTAACATGACATCACTCAATTTATTTCGACCCTACTCAGTTGTACCCGTGGAAATTATCCATGGTGTATGCCTTAAATATTCCCTAAATCTACTCTTAATAGGGTTTTTGACGCATGATTCATAATGAAATTTCAGTTCACATATATTTTCAAGTGACGGAATGAGCAAACATTCCACGATTTTTCATAGAATATTATTGATATTGAGGAGAGGTTGATTAGACCAAAGATTGCATAACACAAGTTGCGTCCGGGACGGACAGACGACGGACAGACGACGGATGCAGCGACATACATTGTAGCATAAGCTCAATGATCCTTGGATTAATGCGTGTTAACATCAAAAAAATTAACAAAAACCTTCATATATCTCCAAAGTTAAAAATCTAAAAACAATTATGAAAATATCGTAAGAAGTTCTTGACAACCTAAATAATGAGACCATATATATTGTGAACGTACACGATGGTATTCAGAGCTATTTCAGCTAATACCAATCGGTGAACAAAGAAAAAAAACCTAGAATGACTAACAAATCAAATGTTGAATCAAAGAAACATTGTGGAACCTACGCTGATAAACACATATACACCATGACAGTCAGCGAGCTATCTTAGTAATGCTAATCAGCGTGCAGGGATACGTCAGTTTTATTACAAGCACGAAGTATGAATTCATTACGGTTTGCCGTGGAGAAGATTGACAGACCTGAGGCTTTGTCCTCATGCTGTGCCTGGGGACATCTTCTCTGTGTCAACACTCTTTATATAATATATGTTTCTAAGCTAAGCAAGTCAGTCGAGAAACTTCGGAAGGTACGAACGGCAACGAAACTGCTGGAACAGCGGCCGCATGAAGAACTAAAAGGTCTTTTCGCCAGGGACTTCCGTAGAGGGAAGTTTAGTACCGATGAAGGAAACGCAATAATTTCCTTTTCTAGGGGAAAACCAAACTGATTACTTTTTTTCAGTTACTTGGTTTAACATCACAGAGACAATGTTTTCCGGACAGGAACGGTTACTTGTATGTGCCATATTTTTTATAACGTGTGTAACTGCACAATGGACAACGTACGATTTTGTAAAGGTAGAGACATATCTTATTTCAACACAAGCAAACATCAAACGATTATTTGATATTATTCAGAAAGAAAAAGTAAAAATGTATGGTACAAACACTCTAAATGGATCTATTCCTGCGGGTGGCGGAATGGCACTAGCTTACGGCTCGTTCTTCGAGGACGTCGAGAGGCGATTAGCCGACATTGAGAACTCCACAAAAGAACTTAGCATCTATATGCGCGTATGTCCAGATGCACCAATGGGTAAGTTTTGTTTAAATAACGGAATAAATGAATAAATAAATAGATAAATAGATAAATAAAACCTTGTATGTAGTCACCTGTTTCAAGGACATTTTATATCTTTATCTTAAATTTCATTGTCTCTAATTTGTGTCTTTTGTCTATTTTATGTCATCTATCGAGAATTATTTCTGCAAAGATAATAACGGTTGCGGTTGAGTGAATTTTAGTTTCCTTTGAAACACAGATCACGCGTGACAGTTATGAATGAAAAGACATTTCCTATGTCATATTCGCTAATTTTATGCACAGGACTGTATATGACTTTCATTGTTCAGGCGTATGGTTGTGGATAAGAAATGAATGCCAGGTACTAGATGGTACCGAATTGACGTTGTGTATTGAAATCCAGGAAATATTATTTTTGAATTTTCGTTCTGTAGATACTTTTCGAAACAAAATCTGTTCTTGTGGTAATATTGATTAACGTTTTTGTCATTAATTGTTTATCAGAACTAAACTTTGCTATAGCTGGTGACGTGATAATCAATTTATTTTTATCCATTCCCCTCTTCTCCCCAAACTCTTTCCCTTTCTTTATATACAATGTACTTTGGAAATATTTTAATTCTCTTCCCGATGTAATCGTCCATTAATACCGACAGCTTGCTATATATTTTTTTTACAAATTCCCACAGCTTATTTTCTCCTCTAATGAATTATTTTCAATTCAATTGTCCATTTATTCTCAATTGCATTTAGTGCAACAGTGGTCAATGCCGATAGGGATCGAACCCTGAACCCGTAGTTCTCTAAAGTGGCATACAACCGAATAAACTAACGCTAATTTCTCCCTGACAGAGTCAATGTAGGTCAGATAGTACCAGGGTTACACTTGACAACACAGCTGATTTGACAATAAGACGTGGTTTGTGTTTGTGAACACATGTAAGCCGTCAATCAAACTTCACGTTTATGTTACGTCATCGTGACATCACATGCCCCAGGTTATGACGCAGTAGTGACTTAATCATCAGAATAGTTCATGCTTACGTAGTTTTTTGGATTACACCTATATTACAATAACACCACGCGCATCTTACAATGTTTACTGTGCTTACCTGTGATTAACAGGTAAACCCTTAACCATGCTATCCAATGGTGTGACCTTCTACCCACGCATTGATAGGTTTACCTAATATATGTGTTACCTGAAACACCTGTCAATATGTTGACTGATCTACTACAATCCCCTGTCATAAAAAAACGTGTACACGTTCGTATCAATAATTTTCTTATTTAACAATTTTCTATCCCGTAACATATCGGAGGAAATATGTTAAATACAAAATGTTTAGTAAGTTTCCAAACTCTAAACTACTTTAAACTTTTTGATACAAACGACTAGCAAATACTGCAAAGACTATTTTCAAAGTTATCTATCCTTGTGACTAAGCATTCGTTGGTACGTGTTTTTTTGTTGTTGTAAGTGACGTCATAATTTTATACGAAAACGACATAATTTTGTATCACAAACAAAACCTGCTCCAAAGAGCTGACGACTTGGCATTACAAATAGTTCATCGTTAATGACTATTCGTTTGTATTTGAAAATTCCTATCAAGTCATCTTTTTTTAACGTTGATTATCATTTCATTCTGGACATGCAGCTGATAAAAATGAAAATAGAAAATGGTTAAAGAGTAGTTTGTTAAATGTCATGTGTTCATACACCGCAGCAATCGGCTGACTTTGTGATTATAAATGCAGCTCATGTCTGGTTCCCCTCATCAACACCTGAACAATAGACTATTATTCCCAACTATTACGACGACTATGATCCGAGTTTGAATGACATCTGTTGGTTTGTTCAATTACTTTTGCTTTCTTTCTTCCGGAACTATAAATTAACATGACACCAGTGGATGCATCTCATTAGTAAGAAACAAGCCGACTTTTCTTATTATTCATTACAGGAAATAAACAGTTATGTCAAGTTTTCCTCACAAATTTATCAATTTAATAAAAATTATGTAAATTACTGACGTCTAGACGTAATTAAATATTTGAGATGTTGAAATATGTATGTAATATGTACAGAAAGATTCAATATCGTAAATCGCTGCCAAGTCGTGACAGCCCTTTGTGAACTCATGATAAAGATAATCGTTAATGACCTTCTGGACAAATTACAGATGAATCTCGAGAGTCGATAATTAATTCATTTTTATATTCACATTTTTTTTTATTTATAACCCTACATGTAACATATGTGGTCAAAGAGATGAATGTTTGACGAGACAGTCTCAAAAAAAAGAAGGTCACAAAGACGGACAGACAGACACACAGACATACCATAATTACAATCATTGCCTAGGACAAGATTTCCTTCTTCAATTCCACTCTTTATAGTAGCCGAATGAAGAATATTGAGTGATCATTATAAAATGGGCCTGCTAGTCAGATTACACGATAAACCTTCCGGAGATATTATTATGCAATATGTTATGTAAAGATACATCTAGTAGTGCTTTGATCTACGCTTTGATGGGACATTTTGATATGTCATTAAAGTATACATGTACATTGTATATCAATATAGCCACGAAACGCACCTGAGTTATTGTGCAATATATTTTCAATACATCTAGGTTACAATACAATCGAATTGTTTATTTAATGAAATGCTGACTGATTTCGTTGTCAGTATGCTAATTGTATTGAAGGGCGTAACAATATACATTGTTACTACATAAAACATTGTTAAACATTTATCACCAGTAACGTGACTGTATCAGTCTTTTAGGGAATAATTTTGCAGAATATGTCACGTAGTCTAAGACACTGTGGTTTATGCACTTGCTGTGACAACAAATGTAAAAGGTTGAAAGGGATTATGCAAATGACCAGTCAATCAATTCAAAATAAATCACGAATCTCTTATAAAAAATACAGCTTTTGTGCGAGTTCAAATTTAAATGAATAATATCGACTCTTAATCATTTCCTTGCGTTGATTTGGTTGAATGGCTAATCCCTGTGTTTCTATGGTTCTTCCCTGTGTTTCTATGGTTCTTTCCTCTGTATCTATGGTTCTTCCCTGTGTTTCTATGGTTCTTCCCTGTGTTTCTATGGTTCTTCCCTCTGTATCTTTGCTTCTTCCCTGTGTTTCTATGGTTCTTCCCTCTGTATCTATGGTTCTTCCCTCTGTATCTATGGTTCTTCCCTGTGTTTCTATGGTTCTTCCTTCTGTATCTATGGTTCTTCCCTGTGTTTCTATGGTTCTTCCCTCTGTATCTATGGTTCTTCCCTCTGTATCTATGGTTCTTCCCTGTGTTTCTATGGTTCTTCCTTCTGTATCTATGGTTCTTCCCTGTGTTTCTATGGTTCTTCCCTTTGTATCTATGGTTCTTCCCTGTGTTTCTATGGTTCTTCCCTGTGTTTCTATGATTCTTCCCTCTGTTTCTATGGTTCTTCCCTCTGTATCTATGGTTCTTCCCTGTGTTTCTATGGTTCTTCCCTCTGTATCTATGGTTCCTCCCTGTGTTTCTATGATTCTTCCCTCTGTTTCTATGATTCTTCCCTCTGTATCTATGGTTCATCCTTGTGTTTCTATGGTTCTTTCCTGTGTTTATATGGTTCTTCTCTGTGTTTATATGGTTCTTCTCTGTGTTTATATGGTTTTTCTCTGTGTTTCTATGGTTCTTCCCTATGGTTCTTCCCTGTGTTTCTATGGTTCTTTCCTATGTTTCTATCGTTCCTCCCTCGGTTTCTATACTTCTTCCCTGTGTTGCTACGGTTCTCACTGGTGTCGCTGTGGTTAATCCCTGTGTCGCCATATTCGTTCCATATGGTTCTTACCCGTGTTGTTATAGTTCTCACATCTGTTGCTACGGTTCTTCTCGTTATTGCTATGAGTCTCAATGGTTTGGTTTTGGCTTTTCCACGTGTTGTCATGGTCACTCACTGTGTTGTTATGGTTCTTACATACGTTGCAATGGTTATTCCCTGCGTTGATTGGGCTATTCCTTTTGTAGGTTTGGTAATTCCCTGTGATGATTGGACTATTCCTGATGTAGGTTTGGTAATTCCCTGCGTTGATTGGACTATTCTTTGTGTAGGTTTGGTAATTCCCTGTGTTGATTGGATTATTCCTTGTGTAGGTTTGGTAATTCCCTGTGTTGATTGGGCTATTCCTTGTGTAGGTTTGGTAATTCCCTGCGTTGATTGTGCTATTCCTTGTGTAGGTTTGGTAATTCCCTGTGTTGATTGGACTATTCCTTGTGTAGGTTTGGTAATTCCCTGTGTTGATTGGGCTATTCCTTTTGTAGGTTTGGTAATTCCCTGCGTTGATTGTGCTATTCCTTGTATAGGTTTGGTAATTCCCTGCGTTGATTGGACTATTCTTTGTGTAGGTTTGGTAATTCCCTGTGTTGATTGGACTATTCCTTGTGTAGGTTTGGTAATTCCCTGTGTTGATTGGGCTATTCCTTGTGTAGGTTTGGTAATTCCCTGTGTTGATTGTGCTATTCCTTGTGTAGGTTTGGTAATTTTTATGTGTTGATTGGGCTATTCCTTGTGTAGGTTTGGTAATTCCCTGTGTTGATTGGGCTATTCCTTGTGTAGGTTTGGTAATTCCCTGCGTTGATTGGACTATTCCTTGTGTAGGTTTGGTAATTCCCTGCGTTGATTGGGCTATTCCTTGTGTAGGTTTGGTAATTCCCTGTGTTGATTGGGCTATTCCTTGTGTTGGGCTATTCCTTGTGTAGGGTAATTCCCTGTGTTGATTGGGCTATTCCTTGTGTAGGTTTGGTAATTCCCTGTGTTGATTGGGCTATTCCTTGTGTAGGTTTGGTAATTCCCTGTGTTGATTGGGCTATTCCTTGTGTAGGTTTGGTAATTCCCTGTATTGATTGGACTATTCCTGGTGTAGGTTTGGTAATTCCCTGTATTGATTGGACTATTCCTTGTGTAGGTTTGGTAATTTTTATGTGTTGATTGGGCTATTCCTTGTGTAGGTTT